ATGCCATTCACTACAAAAAGTCCTGACATGGAATTAACCCATGCTGTCAACCATATGATCTTACCAACTGATCCATTTTCAACTCTTCTTTGATAAGCCTCTTCAGGGAAAATGTTCTCCAGCAAAGAGGAAACTATCTGCCCCAGGGCAAAAAGTCCTGGGTCTGTATCCAAGACTTGTGACAAAAAATAGCTCAGAAATCATGACAGGATGAAATCCCTTGTCTTGCTTCTGATCTAACTATTGTGGATCTAAGCAGGTACTAGTTTTGTATGGGAATGGTAAAACACCTGCATATTATATTATGCTAGTCAATTAAACCCAAATCTGACAGAACCTAGACTTGTAGAAAGAAGAGGTGGGCTTGATCCATGAAATGTTTACTTTTTTGCACATGGATTAAAATCCTCATCATAAGGAAAACCAAAGAAGAATAATTTAATACATGCCCATGTGACTCTTCTGTAAAATCTGATATTAAAAACATTAATACACAAAAAGGTAGGATTAACTTTGCCTCTTTCACCTAATGGGTAATTAACAATCCCCTGAAATGATGACATCATTGGAACTGCTCTTGCAAATGCATTTGAGCCAGTCTGGGCTCAGTAAGCTTTTTTTAAAGTCAATAGTTCATACCACATCAATAAGTCATATGTTTGCAAACACCTAATGGGCTACTATGCTTAAGATGAGAGAAGCATTTCAAAAACCACAAGATGATCATCTAGCCCCTTTGCCTCCAGACAGACAGGATGCTAGTTTAAATTTCTTTCCTAGGTCTTAAAAAAAGAAAGAAACTGGAAAGGTTAAGACTGCCTAGGAAATCCACTATTTATATTAGCTGGGTGCAAGCAGGTAACATGCTGTTAAGTACCATAACAATGAAGATGCAAAGTATGACTTCATTCACTGTAGCTAACCTGAGTGACCAAATGATTTTCATTGAAAGAACAAACTCTCATCAAAAGCAGGATGCCCAGAAATGAAAACCCAACACAAATAGTTTTGTTCACAAAAGATTTCTAGTGCATGTGACTATAACATGTATGTTTTTTCACTTTGGTATAGCACTGACATATGATTTAATTCATTTTGCCATCGACCTTAAACAAACGGGGATGGTATTCCCCAAGAGATGGTTTCCCCATGATTCACTTCCACTAAGAATGTTGCAAGTGAAGCTTCATCACAGCTAAACCTGAAACTTTGTATTCTGCGGTCAGCAACGTGGCTCAAATTTACCATCACCAATAAATAATTCAGAGAAATGTCCACTCTGCTCAGTTCCTGCAATACAACAGGCATGAAGACAGTGCATTTTACTTGCAAATTTGAGTACTGCTCAATTTTTTCAGACATGTGTGCATTCTGAATAAATTTGCCTTTAGTCACCATTACAATTAGGGAGTCAGAAAAGAAAACTTTAAGGCTTTATAAGATCAAGCTCTTGCAAATAGACAATGTACTATTTGTCCTTAACATTAGGACAATAAACAATGGGAAAAGTAGGTGTGATGTAGCAGACTAGTCCACAGAACCGGGCCTTATGCAGACCCTTTAAAGTGTCTACATTTGAGCAACAGCAGTGGAAGATACAAGAAAGTACTGCAGAAGTTGATAGAAAATTGCAAAACATCATGTAGTAGATATTGGGGTTCACTCCAGAATGTATAGATTTTAGACTCTACATTTTAAAAAAGAGGTTTAAACAGAAACAGATCTCCAGTTTGAAATGTTACCTAAATGAAGGCAGAACTCCCATTAAAACTAACCTTGTTTATTCAAGTTTCCCAAGCAAAATGTATGCATTTTGTGAGAAATACAGGTGTGGCTCAGGTCTCATGATACTGGTGCACACAGCCTGATCATTCCTGCTTTGACTCCTCTTCCAAGTGGGAGTGCTTAAATAAACCGTGGACCCTCCATCCATGGTTTAACATCTGAACTCGAAATTCTGGTTTGCCTTTTCTCAAGCAAGTCAGAGTCATAAGCCAACACCGAACCATGGCTTATGACTTTGGATTGTGTAGGAAGAGACAAGCTAGTTTGGTTGTCAAGATAACTGGATCATGGATGGAAGTTCTGTAGTTTGATCCTCTCTGTGGAAGAAGCCATGTGAGAGTGATTAGGTAGCACGCACACATATGCTACTGGTTCATAATAGTAGGACCTTCCAGAATCCTGGCTAATCATTTCACTCACATTTGGTCACTGCGTAAGAGCTGTACCATTAAATAGCTGCCAAGCCTCTTGAACTTAGCAGTCAGTACACTTTGGCTTTCCACCTCAGAAAGATGCATGGCTGAGAAACAGAGGAGAGAAGGAATTGCAACATGGCGTTTTCTTTCCAAGACACATTTTATGCAATATTCTGTTTGGTCTGTAGTACATTATTATTTCCACATGTACACAGGGAACTGTTTCAGAAAGCTGTGGACAAGATCCAAAAGGACGCCTATGTCCTTACTGACCTTTTAATGCCCTGCCTATTTTGCTGAGCAAGGAACCCATCACTTGTCCAGCGGCAATTTTGCCCTTCTGAACAATCGGAAATGAGCAGAAGCGCTTATTTCTGGAAGGATACAGGTCAGCAAAGTTCACACAACGAAGCTCTGCTCCCTTGCTTCATTCCAGAAACAAATGTTTCCACACTTACCAGGGCTTCTCTTCCTAACGGCTAAATCTCCTTTGCATAAGTGGTTGCTTCTGCCTGTGCAATGGAATTGGCAGGACCAAAAGGATAAGTGCCCCATTGGCTTCTGCACTGTGAGCACCCAAACTGATTATCCTCTTCAGTCTCCAATTCAAACACTGGCAGTGAGCATCTGAACAGCACAATGCCATGTAATGATACATGCTGGAATGCTGCTCATTGGGAAATTTAGACATATGAATTTCCACATTGTTTAACTGTGCTTGAGATTCATTCTCAATGCAAATCTTGACTAAATATCTTGTTACCCACATGGAGTGTTTCGCCTGAAATGACAACTGAGCAGAAGTTATTCTATTTTCAGGAGACATGATGTAAGCTTTTATTTCCTTCCTGCTTCTAATTATCTCAACTGGTTGTTAATTTATCCACACACAAAAATACAATGATTAGCCTAGCATGAATGCAATTACATTTCAATCATTTTCCTTTTCCTCTTAAGTGACACACCTTTATTACAAAGCATGTAATATCTGGCATTCAGCTTTGCATTTGTGGGAACTTGCTCCAAGGCCTTTGGTAAAGCTTTTGTAACAAAAACAACAATTTGCTATGAAGTCAACAACTAATTTACTTTCCTTTAAAATCTCAGTTAAATACCCCATGGTCACAATCCATCAAAGCACTCCAAGTCTACATAGTGGGGCTTTCCCCTTTTATTCCCCTAGAAGGAGCCCTCACCTGCATAAACTTCATGGGAATTTGAAAGGCCCCCACCACGTAGTGTGGGAAAGTGGTTACTGATTGGGAAAGGAGGCGAAAAGGTCCCTCCTGCATGCAAGCATTTTTCTACAGGTATCTCTGGATTGCAACCTGTGCAGAAACTGCATGATTATTAAGAATGCACAAAGTGACATCATTAATTTTTTAGAACACCTGGAAGGTATTAAATAGCATAATTCTAAGTTCAGAGTTTAATTTCTCCAAGAAATTGATTTGCATTACCTTTAAGCGCAACTCTCTTTTTTTGTGTCTGAACATTTTATGAATCAATTTTGCAATTTAGGCCAAATCCCAGGAAGTATCCTGAAGGCCCTGTTTCAATCACGAAATGATTTCACTTTGTTCAAGAAGATCACCACAGCTGTGCTCTGATTGCACAAGCACAACCACTTCCCAGAAATAAAGAACTTATCCAGTGCCTCTGTCTGAAATCCATTTCAAGTTGTAATTACAATTCTACCCGATTTCAATCAGATCATTAAAGTCCAAAATGACTAGAAGAGTTCAAGAAAAAAGAAGTCACCAAATACTGTTTCAACCTTACATGTTTTTTAAAAAGCAGCTGTTATTTTGTCCTGTATTCCTTAGCAGGCATTAGAAAATGAATGAGGATCTTAAACACCTTCCCAAACTTTGGTAGTCTAACACAATAACAAGAAAAAACACCAGCTAGCTCAATTTGATATGCAGGGTTCCATTTTTCTAAGCCAGCCGTCCCCAGTCTGATGCCCTCCAGATTTGTTGGACCATGTTCTAGAACAACACATCTGGAGGACACCAAGTTGGACGTGGTTGGTCTGGATGCATTTTGGACAGGACTTTGGTCTTACGTGCTATACCTCCATCTTTCGTTTCTATTGTCCTGCAGATAAATACCTTTAAGCAAATTTTGTGGCTATAATATGAGGCCGCCTTCTCCAACCTTGTGTCCTACAAACATTTTAGATTACAAGTTCTATCATCCCTGATAACTATTCGTGCTGGCTGCGGGTGGTGGGAATTCACAATATCTAGACAGTGTCCCCAGTTCAGGACAACTATGGCTTCCAGAGCTCTTTTGTCGTGGAAAATCCTTGCTGCACACAGGGGGCATGTACCTGCAATATTCAGATGGAGCACCTGCTGTGTTCAGTTGAGAAGAAGGCAGTTCCCGGAAGTCAGGGCTTTACCGCTTTAGACACCTTTGGTTCTGTTCAGGGTAGGGGTTCTGCTCCTAGTTTTGCCACAGACAGCTATTGCAAAGGACTTGGCTGCCCTATGGCCCTGAACCTTCGAAGCAGTCTCCTAGCAGAGCACGTCCAATTACTGCTTTTCCCTCTGGACCTGAGGGCCAAGCATCATCCCTCAAGGTCCTTCAACTGATCCTTGGCATATTTTTCACTTGGGGTGTAAGGAGTCCTGTATTCCAGTTGATCACAACAGCCATAAGAGCTCGAAATTTACTTAAATTGGTGGTGCGAAGTCTTGGTATTCTTAAATGTGTACTGGATCACAATACCCACCCGACTTTACTACTCATCTACGTTGCTTACTAGTTGTACCTAACTAAATTAGCACTTACGGTTGTTAAAAGCATCTGTGTGGCTTGTGCTGGAAGAGGGAGTAGAGTGGCAGAGTCCAGCGGATTTTGAGAGGTTACCAGTGGAGGTTACTTGCTGACAAGAAATGTCCATGTTGAGATTGGCCAGATTTTCAGTAGTCCGTGATAAATCTGTATTTGGCAGACTGGCGCCGTGCACACTGTCCTGGTAAACTAGAGCTGAATTTGATCTGTTTAGGCGGTTTAATGACATCTGTACCATGGCTTCATTTATGAAGACTGAATTCTCACCACAAAAACTGTCCAATTTATTACATCCCATGATCTGCACACAAGCAGAAGAAAAGAAGATCTAAGTGGCTCAAAGTGTTAGCATTTCCTGTCATCATAAATCCCTTTCCCATATCTAAGCACGACTGCCAGGCAGAGACTCAAGAGCAATGTAACAAAGTTAGTGCAATGCAACAGAAAAAGCAATGTGCAACTCAATTCCATACCTGCGTTAAAGTTTCTTCTCTTGTGCATTGTTACCACTGGTTCCCAATGTGTGAATGGTCCCTCTAGGCCAGGAGTGTGGAGCTGCTCTAGTGCCTGAGGCAAGAAGGTGCCAGGGACCAGATTTCTTTCCACAAGCCCCACCCCTGACATAATTGGACGGACCCCTTTCTCTGTGCATAGAAAGGTGTGGGGCACCCATGCCAAGCCTCTCAGTGCAAGGAGAAAGGGGCAGCACTGAAGAGATAAAATTTGTCTCTGTTCAGAGGGAAATTCTGCTCTGGTCCCTGATCAATGATCTCCAGTGCTAGAGAAAGGCTTCTTTTCTGCATTTTGCAGAAAGCAATCCACTCTTCGTCCTGAACAGTTTCTGTCTTCCTAAAAGGAAAACCTGTTGCGATGGAGAGAGAGACCCATTATCACTGCTGCTTATCAGAGAGAGAGGATGGCATTTCCCTCCCCTCTGTCCCATGCCTCAATCCCAAGAAAACTCCCCACTCTCTGAAGGAGGTCTCCTCTGCCAAAGTTCACCTGCAGGGCGGGGACAGTGATATTCACCAGGATGCAGGAAGCAAATATCAGCCCCCTTCCAATGTACTCCAGTCCCAAATTTTATCCCCCTCTATTATTTAATTAAGGTTGTCATTTTCACTTTTAAAAACATCAGATCCAAGTAAAATATTTGATGGATAAGAAAGATCCACTCAACTGGCCTCCCATTAAGATCCAACTTTTCTTTTTTCTTTACAAAGCTTTATTACATTTTATTTATTTATTTTCCAACTTCAACTGTTTTCTGCTCTGCTGCATGAATGCTTCTGAGGTAACTTGTGTGTGTGTGATAGTTTCATTTTGGAATATTTTCTGCTTACATAATTATTTTTTCCTTTTAAAAAATGTGTGTTGTGTTTCTTCCATACCACCCAGTACTGGAGTGCACAATTCTCATTTTTTCTAGGCTTTGTTTGTTGCTTAAAAGGGAAGAAACATTCTGCTAAATAATTAGAACCCCAGCTCTGCCAAATTCACCTTCCTGGCTTATTCAATTTAGGAATGATCCTACTTCCCACTTCCTTGTTTTCCTTTATAGCCCTTTTCAGTCAGATCATAGATTTTCCTTTGTTTTTTCTGTGCCTGCCTATGTTATGTTACTTCTCCTGTGTTCCTAGTTAATAGACTATACAATAACTAAACTATAAAATATAAGGAACCTAATGGTTGAGAGTCCACAGTGTCTCAGCAAGCAGTTCTTCAAAGTCTGCTACGCAAAGTCCTTCCATTGAAGATGCCATAGATGGGACCTAGAATTTCTGGCATACTGACCAGATGACCCTTTACAGGAGATATGCAGGTATCACTGACTCACATGCCCCTTATAGATGTGATACAGGTGCTACATGTAGTTGAAATAGAGTGATTTCATCACATGAATGTTCCATTTCTTCACCCTTTCACTTTTTAGCTGCCATTTCCATGGGCTAGGAAAGTGCCCATCATTATGTTTTGCTTTCAACTACAAATTACATGCCAGACCCAAGAAGAATGTCCATATGAGAAGCCACCCCTGTACCTTTCTATAACATGTGATTAGGGTCCGAGCTATAGCACCTCCTCTTCCCTTTCCCACTCCTCCACTGCCAGCAGCCACTCAACCCATCCTCCTCCCTTCTCCTAATTGTCAGTCCTCAGCCACTCCTGATCACCCTTTCTCATCCATCTGATGCCAGTGCCTGTGCTGGTGAGACCACCAGTAGCTGCAACAGAAGTACTAAGGCTGTAAAATGGCTTATCTTCAGTCAGGCCCCTCAACCAATTGTCAGGCTGCCAACACCCACCCCCCTCCCCATTTCCATCACCTTTTTGCTGTGCGAGCAAAAGCAGAGCAGCATTGTGAGATGGAGAGTCCCTGCCTGGTTCATCTCTTCCCTCCACCTAGACTGGGCCTTTGACACACCATGCCATCTCTCTCTCTGCTTCCTCCCCATCTGTAGTCTATGGAGAATCACACGGGCCTCCCTCAGGAGGGTTACAGGGAGGCTCACTCAGGTAATGTAAGCAAAGGAATTAAGAGCATACCTCGTTGTTCCCTGACGAGATCACCACAGGAAGACTGCTTTGGCGGCTGTGCTTCCAGTGGTGCAGGATCTGCTGTTGCAGCTTGACCATTTCCCGCTCCTTTTGCACCAGCCTCTGGCTCTCCCTGAGTCTTTCCAGGTTTTGCTGGTAGTCCTGCAGCTGCAGATCCAGCTCCCTTCGGTTTTTGCAGAGCAACTTTTCCTGGCTCAAGCACTCTTTCTCCTTCTCCAGCAAGCGGCTCTCTCTCCCCTCACACTCCTGTTGCCGCTGCTCGCATTCACGGTGCCAGCGCTGCTGCTCCTGCTGAAACTGCTGCTGGAGTTTGTGGATGTTCACGAGTTCCTCCTTGGATTTGAAGTTCCGGTGCTTTTCTTGTTCTGGAAGAGAGGTGCCACGAGAACCGTGGGCCCTGCTGGATCTTTCATGCTCCTGCAGAAGCAGCTTATGGATCTCAATGTGAGTGTCCTGGATGGTTAAGGCTGCCTTTTCATTGGAAACAAAACACGGTCCATCAGCCTCAAGGTTCATTTGGTAGAAACCAAAGCAACACAATTTACACAATTAGAGCTTAACAGCTTTTCCTTTTTTGTTAAAGCCTATTCCTCGTGCAAGCTCATAATTATTTAACTGTCAAGTAAACATACCAAGTCAATATTCTGCATTAGCAGCCCTCTGGCTTACTTCACAGCTTCTGCCTCAATAGATAAAACTGCTTTGCAGACCCTGACTCATGTAAAAGTGAAGATCAACGCTTATTCTGAAGTGTGATGCAGATGGTTTGAATATACATTCTCTTCCTTCACTCCCACCCACCCTCCCACAAAACATGTTACACTGTAATAATCATCTCAGAACCACTTCTACCACATTTTATAACATACATCTATTCTGAGACCCATAGATATGGGGACAATTATCTGAAGGAATGCCTACACCCCTATGCACCTGCCCAAGGACCACTAGGGCTTCCACAGGAGGTAACTGATGCCTCATCAGTGAGGGTGTTCAAGGAAGGCTGGACATGCACACAGTAGGCATGTCATGAGCGGAGCCGGCTGGAGCCAGGGGTCAGACTAGATGGCCTGGGAGACCCCTTCTGACTTGATCTGTTTCTATGTTTCTAAGTTCCAAAATCAGAATCAGAGCTATTCCTTTGATAGACAGCAGTAACAGGGCCTTCACTGTGGTGGTGCCACATCTTTGGAACACTTTCCTTAGGGATCCTTTCTTGGTAGCTTTTAAAAGGACTGTGAAAACATTTTTATACCAGTCTATGCATGATTCATTTGATGTGCTGGAAGTTCTAACCACTGCTGATTTTTAACTTTGAATTGTATTTTGTAGCATTAATCATGCTTTCTTGTTTTATATATTTACATGTTTACATTTTCTTTTTGCAAGGGCAATATTCCTTGTACAATGTAATAAAATGCATTATATAAACAGCAAAAGAATTTTTGGCCAACTCTCTCTGTTTCAAGCTGCCTCAACATGGACCATCAACCTCTTATCCAGTATCAGCACTTTAAATCGAGACACAAATTGGAAGCAACTCAGATCACTTCAAGTATGTGACATAATCTTTCCCATAAAGGTTTTCCATATTATATTCCATAAAAAAGGTAAAGGTAAAGCTTTCCGCTTGACATTAAAGTCCAGTCATGCCTGACTCTAGGGGGTGGTGCTCATCTCCGTTTCCTAGCCAAGGGAGCCAGCGTTTGTCCACAGACAGTCTCCATGGTCATGTGGCTGGCATGACTAAACACTGAAGTGCAAGGAATGCTGTTACCTGCCCACCGAAGTGGTACCTTTTCATCTACTTGCATTTGCATGCTTTCGAACTGCAAGGCTGGCAGGAGCTGGGACAGAGCAACAGGAACTCACCCTGTTGGGCAGATTCGAACCGGCGACCTTTCGATCAACCAGCACAGCAGCACAGCAGTTTAAACCACTGCACCACCTGCAGTCCCTAGGGCTGCTTTAATTGTATTATGGTGTTTCTAGATGTGACATACAACAGCAACACCAGACTTGGGGCAGGGGGAAAGTAGCATAGCTCCTGCAAGCAGAACTTCCAGGGATGTCCCAGGTGTTGACTGCTCAGGTACTAGCTCAGGTACTAGCTCAGGTTGACTGCTCAGGTACTAGCTTGTCCTTTTCCTGGTGTGCTGGAAAGCACTGGGAGGGGAGAGCAATGCACAGATATGCATCTCACCTTCCTGGTCCCTGTACTTCAAGGATAAGATCTGACCTATCATTTCAAGGAATCGCACAAAACCCAGAGGAGGTTTTCATTTTATACATAGACAGATTGCTACACAATGGTTAATTTTGCACTGCAAATCTGAAACATCTGTATGTTATACTTTGGGCACTCAATTACAAAACCCAATAAAAGTGCCATAGCAGGTATTACCTGTATGCTGTATAGGAGGCGGGTTAAATTCTGGATAGTCTGTACAACCTAGCAAGGAAAGGACAGAATTTATTTTTAAGATTACAAAATATGCCAACTCTAATCCTAACGTGTTTCATAGTGGAACCAACTAACCTCAGATGGCAAAGAAGTGGCAAAACATGAGCCTCCTTCCTACAAACATACATCTTTGTTAGAACTTTTGTAGAACTCGATTGCCACCTTCTGGACAATCTTACAATCAGCAGTTTGCAGTGTGGCACATGTGTTGATTTATTTTTAAAAGTGCACAGATTATAGAAATAACCAGGAAAGTAATAAGAAAAGGAGGAACACTGAAGCTGGAAAGATGGAAGTAGAGCCAGAGAGCCATAGTTGGCATGGGAAAAGGAATGGACACTGGCATGCCAAGTTCAGGGCCTTATTCTACATAAATGTGGGGCATGAATAATGCCAAAGTAAGTGTATCAAGTTCAGTACCTGGTCTGGCACGTCAGATTCTGCTAAGCTGTTTGCATCATGAACATCGGACTCACAAGGCTCATGCGGGACCTGTTGTTCTGGAACTAGAGAATCAAGCCATCAGGGAAGGATATGAGTCAGATTTCCAAAGCTACCTGCACATCTCACTTAATCATTCCGGATGCAACAAAAATTACTCCTAGCTTATTCTCTTGCCTTGCTACCACTCCGTCTTCTCCTGGTCCCATCTTTATCCCATTATATATCCCTTTCTTTACTTCCTTTTCCACGTTCTTCTCCAGTTGTTATATTTGTGTTTGTATTTGTTGATATCATTTAGAAATGATACAATGCCTTGCAGAAGTATATGCCCTCCTCTGACTCCCAAAATTTGGAAGTGAAAAAGCTTTAATTGTTAATGTTACCATTTCATGAGCACAAGATACTCAACACTGTGAAGAAGTAAAATACTGTTATTGTGGCACAAAAATTAAGTAAACAAAAACAGTCTGCCATTTGTTTGTTGTATAAGCATTCACACATGCACACACTCCAAGTAAGATAAATGCTTGGGAGAAGCGCCTTTGGCAACAATGACAGCAGTGGATCTTCTTGATTAAGTCTCTCTTGGGTTTGCATTTTGGATCCTGGAATTTTTGCTCATTCTTCCTGCTTCAGCTCTGTCAGGTTCGAGGGGGAGCATTGGTGGACAACAGCTTTCAAGTCTTGGCACTGATACGCAACTGGATCGAGGTCTGGGCTGGGCCATTCTAAGACTTGTTTTAATGTCTAAGACACATGTGTTTTTAAACTACCCTAACATTACTTGGGCTGTGTGTTCTGGATCACCGTCCTTTTGGAAGGTGAAGCTCCATCTGTCCCAGGCCTCTTACAGAAAGCAAGAGGGTTTTTTCTAGAACTTCCCAGCATGTAGCTTCATTCAGCTTGTCCTCAATCCTGACGATTCCAAGATGGCATCGGAACGAGACGGATGTGATTAACGGAGTTCGTTTATCACGTTGGTATTACTCGGCAGCAAGTTGTGGGAGACTCATCTAAGCCCTGTCAGGGTGAAGACCGATTGCCTGGGCGCACTTTTGGCTTGATGTGAGATGGCAATCTCATATCTGCTGAGAGCAATTCAGGTACTTCTCAACCGAGTAACACAGGGGGTGGTTTCAGCCCCTTCAGGTTCTCGACATCTTAGAAGATTAGCTTAGGATTTTTATTAGCTAGATAAGCATTGGAACTGCTGAGTAAATATTTTTTACTTCTTTCGCAATATTACCCATGGAAAAGCTGCATTTGTTTATAATTTGGCATTAAGAAAAGAAAAACCCTCCAGATGTTTAGGCGGCGACTGAGATGAGAGAGTGCTGAGGCTTTTGTCCAAGTTGAAGCTGAAGAAAAAGACTTTTTCCTCTAACCTAAGGGTATAAAATTAGTTTAAATTTTTAAGGTGCAATTACGTGATAGGAGTTCAAAGCTTTGACCGATCATTTTGGATATCTGTTTGGACTTCTGCCAAGATCAACGGGACACTGGCCAGGATATTTTTCACATTGTCGGATGCTTTCTTCTTTAATGTGACAACTGTTTGGGTGAGCATTCCTATTTTCCTTTTGCAATACTACTTGTGGAAAAACTGTATCTGTTGTCAATTGGCATTAAAAAGGGGGGGGGGGAAGGGAGAAAAGAGGAAGGATATGAGAATCTCCATTTCCTCTCCTGTGTTTCTGGGACCTCTGCCAAAATATTTGGCAACTTGCCAACCTTCTGACTGCTAGTGATCTAAAGAAAAGAAAAGTGGAACTGATCTTGGCTGCCACTTTGTGGCTATTGGAATTATTGCAACTATGGTAGAGCTGAAGAGATTTTTTTTGGAAACACAAGAATCTTTAACAATTTTACAAATATCCCAAAAGGTGATGTTGAGACAACAGGAAATCTTCTCAATAGTACAAAAAAGCACTTTGATAAGCTTGATGCTTCTTTTAAGGAGATGGTGATTGATATAGAATCCAAAACTGAACAAAATATACAAGAAATGCAACAAGTATATGAAAAATGTGAAACTGTGGATAAAAAGAAACAAATTTGGCCACTAAAGGAAGGAATTTTTTTTTGGAAGGATGGATGGATCCCGAATTAACTAAAATTGATTCTGAGGAAGAAGAAACAGTGAAGGTTGATTTGCAGCAAAAAACAGCAATTGGGAATAAATATTGACCTACAACAAATGCTACAATCACTGAAGATAAAGCAAGAAATAGTGAAGATTGAAATACAGACTTTGAAGTGGGTTGATTTTCAACAAATAACACCAAGGGGAGAAAGATGGGCTAGAGATGTAAAGTTTAAAAATATTGATTTTCAACAAACCCTATTAAAACAAAAGCAGTTTGGAAGAGGTGTAAAAAAGAAATCTTAAAAAGGAATGGTATAAATGAGTTGGCATGTTTATTGTGGTATGGAAAGGCTAAGGTATATGATTTTAACTGTGGAAGCTTTTCTTCATTTACATGTGTTGAATGATGAAGAGATTATAAGATTTAAACTGAACTAAGAAGGAGAATAGGAATGGAGTCCCCCCCCCCCCCGTTTTTTTTTTCTCTCCTTTGTGGGTGATATAAGGGAAAATGAGAGATTCTTTTCTTTTTCTTTTTTTCTCTTTTTTTATCTTAAAAATGAATGACCAAAAGCTAAGTTGTATGACTCATTTGTCTTTGAATTGCTATACTAGAAAATGACTATTATGGGAGTAGGAGGAGCTGTACTAAATAGATTTCTTTTTACAAGTGAGATATATCAAAGATTGTAAGGAGCTGGACTCTTATAAGGAGTTAATTGTATGTGATTAAGTGAAGTGTAAGCTAGATGAAACTTTAATAAATTAGCTTAAAGAAAATTTGTTTAAAAGATATCATAGATAATTGTTGTCGTTAAAAAGATTAGATAAGATGTCCTTAAAGATGCTAAATGGATGTTAGACATGTGAACATAAATTGGGTTAAAAGTCTTTAGTTCTTTTTTAAGCTTGGAACTATTCTTCTCTTTCACTTTCCTTTTTAGTGGATATTAGACTGGAATACTAGTAAGCAAAAAATGTATTTGATCGTATTTGTAACTATTATAATGAGGAGTTTATCTGTTTAATATTAGAAAAATGAAAAGATCTGGAATTGTGTAGAGTTGGTTAGATTGAAGAAGAAAGAAGATAATGACTTTTATCAAATTTGGAGAGTCTTTAATATTGGTCAAGGAAAATGGGACTCTGTAAGAAATGGATGGACTGATCTTACCACAGAAGGAGAAAGAAGATAGTGACTTCTATCAGATTTGGAACCTTTTTTTTTATTGGCTGGAGAAACGGGACTAGGTTTAGATCTAAAAATGTTTTTTAAGATTCCATAAATGGATCTGAATATGATTACAGAATGTTAAAAAATATGTAGTAAGGGGCTGACTCAGTAGTTCCGATGTTTGTGATGACTGATGTTTTTAATACTGTTTTAAAATTTAATAAAAAAGTACTGCAAAAAAAAAAAAATCCTGACCAGTTTCCCAGTCCCTGCTAAGGAAAAACTTCCCTACAAAACAATACTACCAGCACATGCTTCATTGTGAGACACTATTCTCCACATGGAGCCTTTCGTAGGTAGGCCAAAAAGTTCAATTTTGGTCTCATTAGACCAGAGAACCTTTTTCACATGTTTGCTGTGTTTCTTACAGGTCCTTTTGCAAACTCCAAATGACCTTTGAAAAGGGTTTGTTTCAACAATGGCTAATCTTCCATGAAGCACGTTTGTGAAGCATCTATTTGATAATTATCCCATTTCGGCTGTGCTTTCTCCAGCTCTTACAGCCTATTAGCCTCTTGGTTGCTTCTCTCACTAATGCCTCCCTTATCTAGTCACTCAGGTTTGGTGGACAGCCTTCTCTAAGCAGAGCTGTGGTTGAGTCATATCCTTCTATTTTGTAATGATGAATTTGGTGGAGCTCTAGCAGGATGATTTTTTTTTTTTTTGAATAAGCCAACTCTGAATGGTGGTTCTGCACAATTTTATCCTGGAGTTAGCTTCTTAGTCTTTATAATGCTGTTTGTTATATCTAGTTCTCCATCTACACTCTGGAGAAACAGAGGCAGGCATACTTAACCTGAGATCATGTGGCACAGGTGGATTCTATTAAACTACTTACATTACTATATGCAACTTCTGCAGGCAGTAGATTGCACCAGAATTTTATTTAGGCATGTCACTGGAAGGGGGATGAATGCTTATGCAACCAGCAAGTGTCAGTTTGCTTTTGTTTCCTTAAAAATGTTTTGCACCTTCACAGGGTTGATGATCTCATGTACATCGAGCGGTAACAATGCCAATTCCATCCATTTCAGATCCATGCTGCAACTTAACAAAATGTAGGCGATTCAATGGGAATGTGTGACTGTTTCTGCAACACAAACACACACAGACACACACACATGGGTTGTACAACTTCTTTTCAGCAGAGCTGTGACTCTGCACAGCAGTTGCCACTGTCAACACAGCTTTTCTAAAGGTCCAGAAATCCTCTGCATGGCACAACTCTACTATGATCAGAGGTATTCTTGAGCTTGCTGAATCTCATTTTATCTGTCTCCAAAGTCCCCCCTCCTCTCTCAGTGCTTTTTCCATTGTTGCTCCTGCACTGTCAAAATGATGTCATAGTACTGTTAAAGGCAAGACACATCACTACAGCTTTGCTCTACCTGTTTTTAATAGGCTCTCACTTTATGAGTACAAATACATATTTTTGATGCCACAGACAAAGTAGTAGCAATGTGAAGCCTAGCTACTAATACACAAAGTCAACTACCTTATTTTATCATATGTGGGAGTACTACAGCTCAGCTAACAAAGTAACTATTTTGTCTGGCTGCACACAATCATGACCATCCCGACAGCTGGTAAATTCCTGTAATGTTTGCTTCACTATTACAGGAAGCAGAAAAACTCTCTTTGCTGTTGCAACCACAGGCACGGTTCATCTACCACCCATGTTTCAGACACTATATTGATCCATAGCAGCATGTACCTAAGGGCTAAGCAGAACTATTTACATGGATAACACATGCAATGGATGAGCCAACTCTGAGAAATTATCTTACAGGAGACATTTGTCTTCATTTACCATATTTTGCTTTATATTTTGAAAAACTATGAAATGAAGAAGCATGGCAATAAAACACTGCATTGCAACAATCAAAGGTATTATCTCTTACTTACATTCAGTGGCAGGTTCACAGACTTCAGCTTCACTAATATTTGTCAGGCAAGATTTCCCAGTACTCTCTTCTGCTGAGAGGCTTGTGCCGTGCGTCTGCGATAACGTTACTGCCATGTGGAGGCTTTCCGCTGCAGAAAGACAGCTTGGGCCTTTAGTGAGTGATTTAGGGCGTGCTTCTAATTCCAGTGAATTCAACTGTTTCCTTAAACCAACTATGATACATCTAGGAATGAAGCACTCCTCCTTCTCCAAGTAAAGCAACTAAGCTAGAAGTGACTATGTCACCATTTTGAATTACGTCATTTTTGTCCATCCAGCAGCAGAACAGACACATAACCTGGGCTTACACAGTTGGCAAGGAAAAGAAGCTACGGTGGGTTCTTTTCCTGCATATGCCAGCTGTGCACTGCCTTATTTTCATAACAACTCCCCATTGTACTCCAGTCTATTTTGGGCAGGAGAAACTGATGGGGATGGCTTGTTTTCAGTCTTGTGTAACTACTTGCCCCAGAGAACTGTCCACAATCTTTGGAAAACAGCAGTGTAGTGGGACAAGGGCTCACAGGTCTGAAGCACCAAGGCTTTTTGGTTAGCAGGGATGATGACATTTCTCCTGGCCAGAAGACTTCCCTCATGCCTCTGAGTTCAGCTGCAAGCTTCACAGAAGCTGGAAAGAAATGGATTTGCCCAGTAATATTATACAGGTGTGAGCTATCCTTGCTGCAATGAAAAGTGTTCTGGTGTGGCTTGGGCTTGAATACATAACTAAAACTCATTGGGTTTCCATAAGGCTTAGAAGATACATCCGTAACACACAGGAAGGTGGGGGTGGGAGAGACGCAGCTGCCTACATTCTTGGACTTTTTTGGTGCACGGCTATAGAGAATGTGGTGACAAGTGCCTGCAATTTAGAGTTCCCCACTGGAAAATACTCAGAGCTTATATGCAGGAACAGACAGACAGTAGCACTGGGACACTGAGGAGGGACCAGAAACAGGCCCGGCATTAAGACGTGTGACAGCAGGAGATGGCGTACCCTTAGGCAGAGTGGCAAGTGCACAGAGTAGCAGCCTTACCTTCCTTGAGCGCAGCAGCCAGGAGTGAAGAGACTTGAGGAATTTCTCCAGAGTCTGGTTTTATAAGCAGGTGTGGTTCCACATGAACATCTTCAAACCCACTCATATCTCCAAGCTTTGCATAGATACCAAGCTTTTCTTCCAAGAAATTACAGATTTGCTGGTCCTGGTTACTCAAGATTGCTGTCATAGTACAAAACCATGCATTCTGTTAATGATAATAATTATAACAATGTGTACAATTAATCATTATTGCTATCAATATTTTCAGCTTAGCAGGCTGAAAGCAAAACAAATTTGATTTCTGTCTGTGTTCATTTATGTGCACATAAACACTGGCTTAACTAAATATTCCAAATGAAAGCTAAAACTTAGTTGTAATTAGAATATTGCTGTTTAACATTTATATGGTGCTGACAGTATGCTAAGAAGAGACATGACTCTTGTACAGGATGGAGCTTTCTTACATTTACCCACAAACAGGTGGGAGCCATTTCTGTGTGATATAATCCCATATAGTTGAAGCATTCACCTATGTATCACAGTCACCTAGTATTCCACCACGAGGAAATGGTTCCCATGTGGCTACAGGTGGTGTAGAACAGCCCTCCTCAACCTGGTGACTTTCAAAGGCTCTTGGACCACAACTCCCAGAATTCCCATTCAGCAGGGCCATTAACTGGAAATTCTGGGTGTTGCAGTCCAAATGTGTCTGAAAGGCACAAGGATGGAGAAGGCTAGTTTATAGCCTTGAATAAGACCTTTTTATTCAACCATTATTTTAATAACCAACGGTTTTAAGATGTTTTAGGATTTTTCCCTTAACAGTTGTACTTTCTATTTTTTCCTCCTTTTTCTTAAGTTTGTGATGTGTTTTATATTGTTTTAATAATTGAGGATACATATTGTACTTTTATATTTTATATTGTACTTTTATATTTTGTAAGTCATCCTGAGCACTTGGCGATAGGACAGGATATAAATGCCTGTAAATAATAATAATAATAATAATAATAATAATAATAATAATAATAATAATAAGTTTAGAATGGTCCTGTGAAGAAGTAGGTGGAGGACCTTCTTTGAAGTCACCCTGACAACTCCCTTACAGCTGTCCTGTGAATACCGCTGATGAATGAATGAAAATCGAATCGTGCTGCAAGTCTCTGATTGAATCTAATTACACACACACACACACATGAGAGAGAGAGAGAGAGAGAGAGACTCTGAGACTGACTGACTGCATTACGTTGAGTGTTATCAGTGCAGTGGCACTGGGCCTTAACATCTTTTTCCTGAATGATTTCCCAATTCTGTCCCCCTTCAGAACAATTACACCTGTTTTCCAGAACCAAGCAGAGGCATGGCAGAGGTTCTTGATTTTTTTCCTACTAGGAAGCCACCAATAAGCAGCTGCAACGCCCCTGGGGAGCAGTGCATCTCCTCTGTTCTTGCAAGTTCTTGCAGCACAGTCTGCTGCTAATCAGCACATGAGACTCGCACAAATGCGGTGCCTTTCCTTAACAGGAGTCTTGCTCCTGGAGCGGCTCACTGTGAGGAGCATGCAATGCTCCATTCAATCCCCACACTCTACCTCTTCGCCAGGGCTATTCTTGCAAGAGTGTTGGGGCATATACCATACCTTGACATTTTTGAATTTTGGCTGCTCTGGCCTCAGCTACTCTTCGGTCTTCATCAGATTCGTCCATTTTCCCTTCCTCTTCTGGACAACTTCCATGATGAAATGTAAACAAAGCAAATGAAGCCAAAAATCTATCTTGTTCCCTCTCAAGCCATTTATGTATTCATATACATGTATACCTATAGGCAGTGAAATATATGCACAGAAAATCCCATGTAGAAAATATACAAAATGTCAACTTCTGACAGACTGCAATGACTAATCTTTGTCTTGAGATGTTTAAAGACATTTCTTACACAAGCATGTTACAACTATTCTTTTAAAAAGCATAATCTGATAGAAATTTCCTATTGCCAGAGGTAAGATCGGTGATGCCAGATTCAAGGTTTTGCAGTGGAGCACAAGATGAGGCAAAATTAAGTTGCAGTGTATGAACATATACTTTCTTTAAATTGGGTTTATTCTTTGGTATGTATAGTTAGGATTGCAGTCTTAATGCAAATGTTTTCTCAAAGGTAAAGCATAGAGGTGTGAGAGCAACCTTTCACTGGACTTTAATCCTGCAGTGGAAGTGCAAGAACGTCTAAGACTCCCATAGGGCTTCTGTGAAAGCTGCAGCAACATTTTGGGGTGGTTGCAGTACATGGTACCAGATGATGTGGCCAGGCAGTCTGTCTACCTTTTTTCATTTCTAAGGAAATGGTCAACAAAGCTAAGCCACTGCACTCAAGAGGCTTTCAAAGCAGCTGGGGGCCAGTTGTTAAGAATGGTGCTCAGAACACTGCTAAGTGATCATGTAGATGGGTCCCTGAGACACTGTAGGGAGTGAAAAATGTGTCCTGGCGAGCCCTAGTACAGCACCTGCTTTGCATGTCAAAGATTGTGTGGCACCTGCAATGTAATCATCTTAAATAGTACAACAGGGAACGGATGTTCCCTGGAGTTTTGGAGCATTGCTGCCAGTCAGAGTTAGGCATACTTAGCCAAACAGAACCACGAGTCTGACTCAGGATTCAGTCAGCTGGCACAGCTTCATGGTTTCATATATTTTCAAGAGATATTGTTTTTAAGCTGCTTTGCGAGGGCATATCTCAGAAAACATATTAAATAAATAAATATCAACAGCCACATGTGCCTTCTGCATAAACATGTTTATCTTAAGAACTACAGGCCTCACATGCATTTTGTCTTCCAGCTAGGGATGATAAATTCATTTCAGCTCATTTTTGATCAGCATGTACTCAGTCCAGACCTTCTGACTGAACACAAACACAACGTGTGGTCAAAGTCCATATGTTTCTGAGCTTGTGATATGATTTGAAGACTGAAGAAATTGTGTATGACAGCATGCCTATTTTGGAAAAGTGCTTATGAAAAGATGTGTACTTCTGGAAAATGCATACAAATATGCTTAAATCAGTTGAAAGTCAAATGCATACATTTCAAAGATGTGCACAATAATGCATACACTTAAATATGCACATGAAAATATGCACAGATTTTTTCAAAAAGAAAAGAAACAAAGCTCACAACCTGAAACAGACTCAAGCTGGAAGCAGTATTGAGGTGGAATTTGGAGAGCTCCAGTGATCTCAGCTTTGGCTGATTTTCAGATCCCTACTTTTAACTAATCTTGCAGGCAGTTGGCAGCATTATCCTTTCCCAAATGCCAGTCCGGTGTCTTGACTAATGACTGTCTCTTCCTTCCCATCTGTCTGCTTTCCTGAAGTTAACTGGGACATTAAATACACATCCCTTTCCCAAAGATTACCACTATGACTAAACAAATTCAGACTGACCAGTAGCAGCAGAAGCTAGAGGTGGAATGCATTTTATGAAATATTTGGGTGACAAGAGTCTAGACTGGTGTGGGACATCCACACAATCTAAAGTTAAAATAAGAAACTGCAAGGAACTGAAAACAACTGAAGCACTGTTTCTGATTTATGAAGAAATGGTGATGATGAAGGGATCTCTGTAGAGATTTTGATATAAGGCAAAGCAGACAAATTTCAAATGCCTGCTTTTCAAATTCTTCACAAACTACATCTTAACGTTTAATTTTGAAGAAGTGGTATATTTTAAGAATATTCATTGGGATTTTGAATCTGTAATTGAAGCACTTACAGATATTCCTTCTGAAGCAAAGGGGACAGTGCCTTTGCCATGCACACCTAGCATATGATGTTGCCTTTGATGGATATCTAAGCAACTTTAGGTCCTGGAAGAGCTATGTATGCTTGCTGTAGCTTTTGTTTTACTGATGAAGAAACAATAGATTTGTGAAATGAAGATCACAAGTATGATTATTCATGATTAGAGATGGACTTCCGCAATCTTCATGGCTAGAAAAACACTTGCAAGTGTAAGAGGAACTGTGAAGACGCCTCACCTACCTCAGGTATATGCATTGTCAATGCTTATAGTAAAGGCCAAGCACAGGGAAGAGAGCTTTCCCTCTGCTGGGACATCCCAGCTGATTGCTGATTGGAGCTGCAAGTTTATTTCCATGAGAGAATCTGACATGTTTGATGGTTCGTGAAGGAGGGACCCAATAAGAAACCTAAAGGAAAGAGCTGCACCTTTGCACCCAAAATCCCACTTTGAGCCTAGGAACATGTGGCTATTCAGTTTGCTTATACTGACATGAAAGGCCTGAGTGGAAATCCAGGGCATATAAAACTCACAAATTGTTTAGACTAAAGGGCCAATATATCTCTCACTAACTGTACTTGTCTACTTAGGAAAATCATGCCCTCAGAGAACATAGCTTGCTGACAAAACTCAAATTTGAACCGGTAAGCATTTCTAGAGATGATTCTTACACTAAAGTAAAACAAAGACTATAAACAAAAAGCAATGAAGAAAGTGCCTGGCTGTACCTTTCCACTGCCTCTTGAACTTGCCTCATCCAATGACTCCGTTCCTCTTTGGAACTGGTATGGATTTCATACATCTCAGGTCCTGTGGATGAGGCACTAATCAGGAACATTCCTCGTTCTTCATTAGCTACTTCTCTGACAATAAGTTTCTGAAGAGCTATGACAGCTGGCTTCTGGTCCTATGCAGAAGAAATCAGAAATCACAATCTCAGAAATCAAGTTAGAGGATCTCATTCTCATTAACATGCTGGGGAAATAATTACATAGGAAATACATGATGGCCATGTCTGGATATAATGATATGCAAATACTGCTGAGAATTCTGGCTTACCATTAATGAGAACCTGCTTTTGTACACAGTCATGGCCACTGATTAGTTCCTCCCACCAGCCAGAATAGCTAAACTAATAGCAGAAACTAATGGGGAAGCAAAAGCGGGGGACTCCTGATTTATTTCCCCCCAATAAAACAGAATCTGAGGCTAAGACTTCCAATTCCAGGTTTGTTGGAAAGCAGAATCCTGTATGCAATTACTCAGTGTAAGCCCTGCTTACTTCAGTAGGACTTACTCGCAAGTGGGATCATGGCCAATGTAATTGTTGTTACTTGCTATGAAGAACATATTTAAACCACATGTGTAGATAAACTACAGAGTTTCATGAGCAGCGCTTTCTTTCAGCTTCGGCTGATCCATCAGCTGCGTCCCTACCTAGAGAACGACTGCCTGGCGACAGTGACACACACATTGGTGACTTCCCGACTTGACTTCTGTAACACGCTCTACATGGGGCTGCCGGATACTTCAACTGGTTCAAAATAGAGCTGCCAGGCTGCTGACGGGGACTCAGCATTATGTTCACATGACTCCAGTTGTCCGTCAGCTTCACTGGCTCCCCATTGAAGTCTGAGCCCAATTCAAGGTGTTGGTTATCATCTATAAAGCCCTTAACAGCTTGGGTCCTGATTACCTAAAGGAGCGCTTATGTCCATATGTGCCCGCCCGCCCCTTGAGATTAGCGGGAGAGGCCCTTCTCCGGAAACCCTCCGTGAAGGATATTAGGAGGGTAAGCACTTGGAGGAGGGCTTTCTCTGCAGTGGCGCCCAATCTATGGAATGCGCTCCTCAGCCGTCGTCATTTGTTTTTCGGTGCCAAGCGAAGACCCTTTTATTTAAACATCATTTTAATTGTTAATATTATTTATTGATTTTACATCTTTGGCCAGGATGTCTCCAATTATATTGTTTTTATATTGTTATTATGTTATTTATTGTTGTGAGCTGCCCCGAGGCTTCAGCGAAGGGGCGGCATAGAAGCTTTCTAAATAAATAAATGAGTTTAAATGATAATATTTTACAACATAGAAATTTGTGAAATTGAAGGGCAGCATATTGCTGCTTTAAATAAATAAAACAAATTTTTATCAGACTTTCGCCCTGATATAAAATGGAATAGGGATTAAGCCTGATACCAAAAACACCATCGAATGCAATTACCTAATCATAAAGCCTAGACAACTGATCACTAAGTAAATCCAAAAGTACGCTTAGCATTTTCAGACATGTATACTTACAACAGCTGCAAAGATATATTTCTGATCCTTTTCCTGTAAAAACAGCATCACATCACTTAGGAGGAGAGCTAGTATATCTGTTAAGAAGAAAGGCAAAAGATAATATGGGTTAATTTCTAACCCCAGATTGATTGAATGAATGAATGAATGAATGAATGAATGAATGAAAATAAATGCTGCTTTCATGCAATCCTAAACCATAGGTCCACTAGCTGGAAGAAGTTAGGATGTGACAGATGTGCCCCTCTGCTGACAGAGAGGAAACTCCAAAAAATAAAGATTCACCAGGGCAAAGACGATGAACACCTCCCACCTGGCTGGCTGAACTGGCAAGCCTTTGAAAGTGGTAGATGATTTACCACGATATTCCACTTTGAAACCACCTTGCCAGGAACAAAACGCCTGAGGCCTTCATGACTGACATCATAAACTTTAAGATGACATTCCAGTAATCCTTTTAAAATATATTTTCCTTTATTTTAGGACACAAGTTCACACCCTTAAGCTGAAACCTGCTGGCTGGCCCTAGAACCTAGGAACTTGGGAAGATGCCTCATACTGAGTCAGACCATGGGTTCAATACTGTGAACACTGACTGGCACTACAAGCTCTCCAGGGCTTCAGGTGGGAACTTTTGCTGACTTATCTGAAGATGTGAGGGATCAAATTCAGGACATTCTACATGCAGCACACATGCCTTACCTCTGAACTATGGCCCTCTGTGTGCTGACTTCATACAAATCTGTCATCTATTGAGATTGTTATCGGAGGCCAATCTCCAAGTACCCCAAAATCTAAAATATGATGGAGGAGTGACTGGAAGGTGTTTCTAATGGTTGCAGCTCATCGTTGGAACACTCTTTACAAGGAAATCTATCCAGTGCCCTTATCACTAGCCATTTAGCTGCCAGACAAAAATATTTTGGTTTCTTTAAAGAACTATAGATTTTGATTTCATTTTATTTGAGCCAACTGTTGCTGCTTTAACTTGTTGTGTTAGCTTGCATAGTTTATTCTACTATTTAATGAGTTCTTTAAATGGTGCTTTCTTACTACTTTTTAGCCTGGAAACATACATTTAGGTGCAAAGTACAAGACAGAAATTACATCAATGAAAAATACAATGCTTTCACTATAAAGTGTCACGGGAACTATAAACCAGAACTGGATTTTTGTGGGGAAGGATTGGGCAGGATCCAATGAGGTCCTTCTGTTGATGCAACTGGTCACTTAATGGAACTGCTTATGTTAGCTGAACGGAGAGGGAGCAATTCCTCCCTGTAGCCCCCTGCACACTTGCAACGTATGTTCTGGAGGGTCAGGAGACCATCCAGCACAGATTTGGGAATAGAAGAGAGGCTCTAGTTGAAGGAGAGAAGGAGAAAGTCCCTGTGCTTCTACTGAGCACTATTCAGTTTTCATACTCAAATTTTTGCACTCACAATGTATTATGTTAAGTGTGTCTGTCTTTTGCACCAGGCTGCTGTTGGCAGATCTTGGGGTTCTAATAAAAAACAACTCTGATGTTTTCCCAAGAGGATTGCACTGTGTTTTCTACTAAGTGTATCTTTTAGCACCCATATGCAACAAAAATTTTTCTTCCACACCATTATCTCAGAAAGTGGCATATTTGAAAACGTAATCATGCTATACTTTGCAATTTTGTCACCAAAAACTGCAAGCACCTTTGAAACGTCCTGTAGCTGTTTTCCAATAGACTAAGCCTTCATGCAAAAGTGTCCTCTGTTTCTTGATCAAATCCTGCTTCCTGAAAACATGCCCATTTTTCAGCTTTGTGTATGTTTTGTTTTCAATCCTATTAAGAATCTCTAGCAATTTTTGCTTTTTCTCATATTCATTGACTTGCAAATCAACTGCTGCAATCATTTCTTTGATTAGGCCAAGGGCTTCACATAAGTCTCGATGTTCTTCAGTTCCTTCTGCATAAAACCAAACAAAAACATTTAAATAATAAGAGACAGCATTCTTCTGAAATTTTTAAATTTTTAGAAGATTTTAACAGGAACATTGTTTTCAAATGATTCTGTTCATGATTCATGACCCATGCATTTTACCACTGAAAAGAGACACTAAATGAATCACTCTGAGGACTTTTGGCATGTTTTGAGAGAGGAAGGCATGAACAAGGAAATCTGTACTATAGTCTGTATTCAAAACTGCAAATCTATTATATGACTAAAATTATGACATTATTCTTCTGGATCCTGAACACCAGCACCATTATTAGTAGGTGTGTAGGACACCTTTCTAACTGTAATTGAAGCCCTGTCCTTGGCAAAATATTTATACAGGTACACAGCCCCTAAACCACATGTTGGCAACAGTGGTTCCATGACTGGAAGCAGCCCTTGGACTAATTCTAATATCTCTGACCTCTACCAAGAGCATCTGTTCCGTGCTTGGCAGCCCACTGGACAGGAAAGAACAGGGAGGGAGGGAGGAAGAAGAGTATGGCAGAAACTGAAAATGAATTGGCAGAAAGAGAAACTGAGTGACTCTGGGCTTTGAGCCTCCCTACTGCTTGCTTCAGCCCCACCTGCTTCCTCGACGCAGCTCCCAACAGGTTACCAATGAAGCAATACATCCTTCTACAGGAAAAGAGGTTGATCACCCCATCCTAGATAATGCTCCACAGCCATTTTTCCTGCTATAAACTAACACTGCTCCTCAGGCGGAATAAGAAAATTTAAAATATGCCATTCTTGATGAAGTGCACTTACAGGCTGATAATTAAGATCTAGGTACTTAATTATCTAGAGGACTGCCAATGGGCCCATGCCTTGGGCTGAACAAGCCCCTTAAGCTTGAGTACAAACCTGATAGCACAGCACGTGGAACAGATTTCTTCATTCACAGACCATGAAAAAGCCAGCTAGGCCTATCAATATGTGAAAATGTAATTGATTCCATAAAGGAAGATTGGGGGGAGATATTTTTTCATTTACAATATGAGAGAAATGAAATATACCTTTGGTGCCTCCAATCTTATTCAATGAAGTAAACCTTGAGGATTTTTTGTGAAACATTTAAAAAAAAAAAACTGCTTACCTTTGGTATACTGCAATATTCTTTCTACTAAAACAGGGTACTTTGTGATTCTTTGAGTGACAAGCAGAATGCATTCTGGGATTCCTCTCCGCCGAGCCAAAAGGTTACTGTTACGTAGCTTTAAACATAAAAAGATTTTTTTTAAAGACAGTACTTGTTTTAACGTATTTAATAAGCTGTTTATGTTTGAGCTCTTTGCTTTGGTGGGGAAGGAGGGTCCTCTATTTTTCTCTGCTTTATTCTATTTGATAGGAAATCATCATTCTGTACTTTGCCACAGTATTTGGCTGCCAAAAATAAGCTAACTACTATACCAATCCAATTTACTGTGAATGACCTGATAATTTCCCCAGCCAATGCATCATGAGTCTGCAGTCTCCTCTGAATATTTATAACAGTAAGGAATCACTTGTAGAATACAAGTAGAACATTTATATGAACAAGAAGTGCTGTGATACCCATTCCCATTGGACACATGAAGAGCTGGATCAGGCTGGATGTGCTTAACTATTCTCTTGTTCGTGACATTTATTTAATCATCCCGGCCAACAGAAAACAAGGTCTTCAGTTGATTAAGGGCATAACATTACTGAATTGATCTCCACTAAATAGAAGCCTCCAGTTCTGAAAAGAATTCTATGCACTGCCAAACTGCCACTACCAAAGTGGAGGTGCAATGGAGCAAATTTCACCTCACTCTCTCCCTTTACACTGACAGGGTCTGCACTATGTGCCAACACATAGTGAGTGGCTACCCACCGTGGTGGCCTGTATGACAGCAACAAGCCAACATGACAGCCCGTAGGTTGCTCTAGAGGTTGTTGCATCCATAATGGATCCTTGTGTAATCTAAGCCTAGGCAACTGACCCCCCCCCCCCGCCCCCCGTTAGTGAACTTATTGGCAAGAGCTGTAAAATCCTTTTGGTGCTGCTGCCAAGCTTGCCTGGATGCCTGCCAGTGCCCAAGAGACGCTTGAAGATGACTGCCCTTGCCTTGCTACCCTCCCTGCCACAATCCAAGCCATTTTCAGTTCATCACAAGTTTACTGTACATCCCTTTTGTTTCCTGAGACCACAAAATCCAGACTAACAGCAGACGTTTGCATTTTCCATTTGGACACCACTGGCAGCTCCTTCAAAGTGCATTTAATTGGAGGGTTCCCAGTGGCTGGAAGATCATTTTAAACATTCACACATGAAGTCTTTCTCAAATAGGTTCGTTTTTTAAGCCACAGTTGCAAAATGGTATAAGTTCACAGTGTAGTGTATGAATGTAGCAATATGGAGCAATGTCCTTAGTACAAACAGAAGGTAACAGTCCTGGACATCACTCCAAAGAAGCTCCAAATAGGATTTTTTTTCCTTTGATTTCTCTTGGCAGTTGTCAAAAGACAACCTGACAATAGAAAGCAAAGGTGTGAATTATTCATGCTCACAAAAAGGGGGTGGTATGATTTTTACACCATCTGTGGTTAGATCCTCAACATCTGGGGGGATCCTGACAGTCCACTGGCTGGTGCACTAGGTGCTGTGGAACGTGCAAAATGTGCCCCCTCTTCTTCAGAAAAGACGTTTTAATAGTTAGCCTGAACAACCTTTTGTCCCTGACAAAAACCACACATTCCCACCTAAGCCACATTTCAATGAGATGTAGTTGGCATTCAAAATTCCCTTTCCCAAGAAAAAATGAAGGTACACCTCTGTATTTCCTCAAGAACCTAGAGTCTCAGGAAAAGTGCAAAATATGCCTCAGCCTATAGACTGTCAGTACAAAAAAGGTTGAGGAATGTGCTATAAAGTGGATATAAAAGTGGATTTATTTTCCCTATTTTACAAGTAAAAATCGCTCTCATCTTTGATGTCCCTTGATGGATTGCCTTTTGACAGCTGTCAAGAGGAAACAGAACAATGGATGTATAAAAATATTTGCAGCCTCCTTGGGGCAATATCTAGGGTTGGTACCTGCTACAATTTGGCAGGGGGTACACTCCGGGACACTGCCCCAGCAGAGCTTCTTAATCCCATATTTGCATAATTGTGAGCCTCCACAATTGTGCAAGTGTGGGTAATTTAAGGGGGGTCATGGAAAACAACTTGTTTGAACACATTTCCTGTGCAAATATAAAAATAAAACATTTTCCAGCCACTATAGTCCCTCCAAGGTGTAGTTGGGGCCCTCGAAGGGCTGTCAATGGCTGATTGCAAAAGCTGGCTGTCAACTCAGGTTTTGTTATCTCTAGAGAAAAAAAGGGTAAAATGCAAAAAAGCCACAGTAAGCTGCAAAAGGCTCACCATCTTGGCAAGGAAGGGGAAATAAGTTGGTCTTGCTGCAGTACCTCCTCAGATACTACTGGGAGGGCTGAAGAGGAAATAACCCACCATAAATTCAATCAACTGTTGGTACACCACAAGCTCTTTGGCCCACAACCAACCCACCAACCATGCCAGGGTGGGCTGACATTAGGTGCCAAAGTGCCTGCTGCTTTCCACTGGATGGGTCTCCAAGCCTGTGCCATGGAATCACACTGCCAGGGTCTGGGATGCCTTTGGATCCAGGAAATTCTCCATCTCTTCTCTCCTTTTCCCCCTGTTAGCACTGCCCTCTTCCCACCCTCCACAACCCCCTCCAAGATTGCAACAGTGCTCTTGAAAGGGAAGCTATCGTGGAGCTCACTGCAGCTCTGTGAGGAGCATTTGCAAATCTCTCTTCAGATTTTTCATCCTGTGGTTGTAGGAATGTCTATAGGAGTGGCACAGGTCCCACATATATCCCATGTCCCGAGGATGCCTTATCAGGGGGCTATAGAATGGGAATTACTGTTGCAATCTGAACTGGTTCCATTTAAAATAATTCAAGGAAAATGGGAAACAGGTCTCTTTTTTGTACTAAACTTTGTTTAGTTCTAGGCTTTAGACCTCCCTGCTGAGAAAAGCAAGAATGATGAGATGTCTTCAGGCAGATCTTTGGCATTTAAGCTGATTTCTTTCTAAAGAAGATTTAAATTGGTTGGCTGCTGTCTATTTCTCTTATGCTTCTATGCATCGGTTTTTATGTTATGTTTTAATTAAGGTTCTGTTTTTAACCTGTATTTTATTATTGCTAGCCACAAAGAGCACTGCTTTTGGCAGAAAGGTGGAATATAAACTAACTTACTACATAAATCAAAGCTCTATAGAATGCTGTGAGCCCAGTTTTACAAAGGAAGCTAATGCCACAAACATTCTATGCCAAGAGTTTGTGTGCCCACAAAATTCAATTCATTCAAGATGATTTGCTATTTTAAAAGTTACCATTATAGAAACTTTAATGATTACAACGACAATGCTGCCACCAATAGCAGCATTTAATATTTGTATGGTTCGTCCAAATGTTCCAAGTGTTTCACTTACACTATCCAGTTGCAGTCCTTAGAACAATGTAGAGCAGTATTATTATCCCCAGAAAGCAAATGGAGGAATGAGGCTGAGAGAGAGTGGTATGCCTGAGGCTAGCTAAAGAGTTCCTGAAATTCAAACCAGGGACTTCCTCATTCATAGCTCCATCTCATATGTTACACCAGATCTCATGTAAGTACATTTCTATTTAAGATGCATCCAAGGAATCCTTCCTACAACTCTCCTGCTATTACCAACTTACTTTGATGAAGTTTTGAAACTTTTTATTTTGCTGCAATTCTTTGAAAAGGGTGACTGCTTCCTTCTGATGACTACAAAACTCCCCGTATATGGACTTCATTTTGTTTGCATTCTCTTCTGAAAACTGATAAAAAGCAGAAATTAAGAAGAACCATCATGGAATATCAAATGTTTTTACATCAAATGTGTTGGCAAACCAAGCCTTGTTGCAATGCTGGCATCAGTCTATTGATTGATCTTTGAAGTTAGCCGAAGAGACAAGAAAATAACATACCCATTTGATACAGTCAGCAATGAGAGAGAATGTGAGCAATACCAAAAAGATGCGTATTTTTTAATTTTAGAGGTTTGCAAAAGGCCTCCAGAGAGAGAATTTTGCTGGGACTGAATCACAAGTTAACAGTCAGCCAAGATTAAGCAAATTCAACACTCATGGTTAATGTCCCTTTCCAATGAACAAGTACAGCAGTACCTCGGCTCACAAATGCCTCAGTTCACAACCAAATCGGGTTGCAAACAAAAATGTCATAAAAATTTTGACACAGGTCACGAACTCCACTTTGGGTGGCAAGCGCAATTGCAGCCATCTCCCCACCCCACCCCCGAGTGGGGAGATGGCCATGATTGTGCTGGGGGTGGGGGAGGGGATGGCTGTGATCTTTCTTGCACGAGCGCGCCCGTGATTGCGCCCGTCTTTCCTTCATGAGTGCAACCGCAATCTTGGCCATCTCCCCCCACCCCAGCATGATCGCGCCCATCTCTCCCCCCAGCGTGCCCGCAATCGCGCTCATTTCTCCCCTACCCCAGAGCACCGGGATGACAGGCGCAATCGCAGTCGCGCTGGGAGGGGGCGGGGAGATGGCCGCGATCTTTGTTGTTCTTTGTCACTTTGCTTCACATTTTTCTGATTTAAAAAGTGGTTACAGAACGGATTAACCTTACTTACATTGAACCTTATGGGGAAATTTAACTTGGCTCACAACCAGTTTGGGTCACGAGCAGAGTCCTGGAACAGATTAAGTTCGTGAGCCAAGGTAGCACTGTATGTATTCGGGAGGAGCACAAGAATAGCAGCACAATGTCTTGCACTGGCACTGCTCTTTTGCACACCACACACCACTGCTTTCATGCAAAATTTAGACTTTCTAATGCGGTACTGCCGATTGTCTTTGCATTTGTGGGGCAAACTGTCACTTTTTCTTCCAAATTCAAACAGCTGAAACCTTGGTCTACCTGAAGTTGCTCAGTGCTACATTAAAGGAACGAGTGTGAGAATGAATTCCCTAAAGCAATATCAAAGACTTTTGGTGAAACCTTAAACATTCTTCTAAGGAGTACATCCCATATATGTAAATGTTCTGAATAAATAAATTGACTTCCTGACTGTGAGACTTGCTTCTGAATGAACATGTATGTGATCACACTAATAGGATTAAATACAATGTTGCACTCACCCTATAGGACTTCCCCTTGCTCTGTTCCCCTCACAGCCCCCTACCTATCCTCCAAATCTGCTCCAGAAAGTACTCCAGATCCTCCAGAGGGAACATCTATTTTGCCAAAAACTTCTGTTCCATTGGCTGATGCTGGGCTTGTTCACAGAATTAAAGATCCTGCTATAGTTTATTTAAGCCATAGTTATTTGTGGAATTCTGAATGCTCAAATTACAACTGCAGCCTGCAGAACAGAAGCCATCTTTTCTCTTTTGTAGACATGCGATGGCTGGAAATGTACTTTTGTTCAGTGCCTTACCTGCTGCACAAGGATGTCTCCAATTCGGCTGATAACAAAATTTCTATCACTTCCTTCCTGAGCGGATTCCTGTCTTCTCTCCTTCATACTGTAGAAGAACTGCTGGTGAAGTTCTTGCAGCTCATCTAAACAGGGGAATATCTTGTCTACAGTGCTATGGTCCAGTTGGAGTTCTTCCTTCATTCCTTTTCTGAATATTTTTGACATAATGAACAGGGTATGAATGTGATGCACTTCTGTTTGCATCAGCTCTGCAAGGAAGAAAAGGAAAGCACTGACAAAATAACTCAGAGGAGAATCTCATATAATAATCATGAACATGTTCTCTAATACTTAGGTAGTCAAAATGGTATTCTCCACACACAAGAGAGAGGTTTCACGTAGCCAGGGAAAACAAACAAGTTCTGCAGAACTATAAAAATTGGGTTGGGGCAAAATACCCTCAAAAGTGTTTGGGGAGAAGAAGAGGCCAAAGAAAAGAGAATGTTCAGTGAGCATGGAATGCTGAGTGGCCACTGGAAAGAGGAAATAGGGAAAACAAGACAAGGAGAAGATAATCGAATATCCTGGAAAAGCTTCTGGCTTACAGAAACATTCCATGTTGTAACATTTTGCTCCTGGACACATCATGTTGCCCTTACTAGAGTAAAACCCCTTCAAGATCCCCATTAAACCACATTTAACAGTTTATCACAACTGACTTACAACATACATTCACACATCATGACAATCTGCTAATAAGCAATAAGACATGGATGGCTGGTTGTTCTACAAACAACCCAGGGTACGTCCAACAGGTGACTGGGCTCACCATAGATGGACTGTCCCACCCTCAGTCTTCCTGCAGCATCTCAGCAGAGTGCAGGATAGGACTGCTTGCCCTCCCCCGCTACAAATGCAAGTCCTTTTGTAAACTGCTGCAGCCTTTTTGCCACTTTTCCATTTTTTCCTTTTCTCGGAGATGGCAAAAAGAAAAATCATATCCAAAATGTGCAGGGGTTTTCTTCATTTTTTAAAAAAACATTAGTCAGACTTGTATAAATACACACTTGCATGGTACTAAAATGACCTGCCTCCGAGGCAATGTCTGGAAAGTAGCTGTGGCTACTGAAGTACATAGACAATCCTCACAGGCACTGAACCTGAAAGGCTGAGGAGTTTATTTCTGAGTTTGGTTTCTCTTCACAGCAGTAAAAAGCAAGCTGACAAAAGAAACCAAAGCACAAGTGATCTTTATTTGTAAAAATAGGATGATGCTAGATACCTCCTTTGCAGCGAGATCCTCAAGGGGTTTGTTTTATTTATTTAATTAATTAATTTAAACAACTTATAGGCCGCCCCATCGCATGAGCCTCAGGGTGGCTTACAATCATAAAATCATCAAATAATTAAAATACATAAAATAAAATAGTGGACCCAGCCTGGTCAATTTAAAATAAACCATTAACAGTTAAAATAGCGTTTAAATAAAAAGGTCTTGGCCTGGCACCGAAAAACAAATAATGACGGTGCCAGGCAGACCTCTCTGGGGAGCTCATTCCATAGGTGGGCGCCACCAAGAGAAGGCCCTCCTCCGAGTACTCACCCTCCTAATATCCTTTACGGAGGGTTCCCGGAGAAGGGCCTCTGCCGCCAATCTCAGGGGACGAGAGGGCATATATGGACGAAGGCACTCCTTTAGGTAACCAGGGCCTAAGCCGTTCAGGGCTTTGCAGGTGATAACCAGCACCTTGAATTGGGCCCGGACTTCAGTGGGGAGCCAGTGGAGCTGATGGAGGACTGGGGTTATATGAGAACAACACCCAGTCCCTGTCAGCAGCCTGGCAGCTCTATTTTGCACCAATTGAAGTATCCGGACCATCTTCAAGGGCAGCCCCATGTAGAGTGCGTTGCAGAAGTCTAATCGGGAAGTGACCAATGCATGTGTCACTGTTGCCAGGCAGTCGTTCTCCAGGTAGGGACGCAGCTGATGGACCAGCCGAAGCTGAAGGCAAGCGCTCCTGTTTCTTTATGTTAATGCTGCTGTTGCTGCTGCTGCTTTGTGCCTGGCTTTTCCACCCTTTCCCAAGATTTCAGGAGCTCCTGTATGTAGAAAAGTTTAAGCCAATTCCCTTTTATGGGAGCCGTCATTATGTTTCCCTTTAAAGGGTCCCCCACCCATGGCTCTCTGTGTTCCTTTCACAGGGGCACATGCATTCACACATGCTAAACTGGATGAGCTTGGCAGGAGTGGCAAGGGTTGCTTGTAGGCTTGTTTTTTCTGCTCTTGCCAATAAGGTCGCTCAACAGTTTCTGGTACTCACAATGGAGACAGTTGCTCAGGACTGGATGCCCTGATAACCAGTGTAGGCACAACAGCCCATAAAACAAGCCACAGAATGTCAGGCTGGCTTGCTGCCCATGAACAAGTCACCCTGTAGGAAAGCGTTCAGGTTTGCATGATACAACTTGCTTGTGTTGTTCTCTTCTATCATAACTTGACATTCATTCATGACTTGTCGTTCATGATGGCTTGTCATGTCATGTGAACCCAGTCAGAGACTTGCTGACACGGACCATGAGTGCAGAAAAGACAACATGACATTTTCTACTCCCATTTTCTCAAAAGTGAAATGCTTAAAGCAGAAATAAGATCTCTGATTTCTGACATAACATGCACTTTTAATTTAATTCCACTAGTGATCCCACCATGCTTTATATCTTCATTTCTCTCCAGCTGTACAGAACCTTAGATGGAAATTTGTATACTAACCAAAAATCACATCTTGTCGTTTGATAACATCCTTTTCTTGTCTGCTACAAAACGAAGGGTCCACAACGAGACTCCATGATTCTGCCTCAAACTCTGAAGCATCAGTGCTCAGGTCGCTCCACAAAGAGGCATCAACATCATCTGTAGCAGCAGAAGAAACATTTTTAAATGCAGCAGCCGCACAGACATGAACTCATGCAAGTCAATGCAGACATAAAGTTAAGAGCTAGGGGTGGCTCACACGCTGTATCAAGCAATATTGATGGACCACCCAGGAGAAGCTTGCTAAACAAACATGGATAAAAAGCTTACATATATGACCATTAATTCCTGTACATGTGGGTTCATTTACATCTTAGGTATGAAATCCATCACACACACACACACACACACACACACACACACCCCTTCTATCAGAGCATACCTATTTTGAAAGTGGAGATGCTGAGATTAAAAGGCTCCCTGAGAGCAAGAATGACACAGCTAGTATGCTTTTAGTATCCTTGCTGCAGCATGCTACTGAGCTGGAGAAAGCTGCTGTAACAGGTAAGAAAGCAACAGTACTGCAAACACTGTTCAGTACCATGTCCCTTCACCGGGTTCTCTGCTGGAGGATTCACTAGACCAGTTTTCATGCCCTGTTGTCCTTGCAGGAGGAACGGAGGCAACTGTCTTTGGGAACCAGCTAACCCAGAGCTGGGTGCTTTGGGAGGGATCTGATAGTGTACTCTCTCACTGCTACTGTTGTTACACTAACAGAAACCAACACTTCTCTGTTAATTGCACTGGCTAGTGCAGCATGTTTTCCCGGTTAGCAAATGCTACTGATGTTGTGCAAGCCCTGGTTTCTGCTAATTCAACATAATAGTGTGAGCCGGAGTACCATGTTGGACCCTTTCTGCTGTTTGCATCACTGCAAATCATCCTACAACTATAATAAGGACAGGTTTTAAGAATAATATTCAAACTTTAACAGGCTTGCAAAATACCTCAGATATCCCACAGAACTCTGGTCTCTAAAGTTTTGCCCTTATTTATCAGACAGTGCAGATGATGACAACAAATAATGACTATTTTTCTTATTTTCTTTTATACTATTTAGGCAGGTTTGCACAAAACAACATGCCATTTTTTAACCATTGTTGGTCTGTCTTATTATCTGAGCCCTGTCATCGTATCGCAGTGTAGTATGTTTGGTCCTTAGAAACCACAAACAGAAACAATGGTCTGATCTATGGTTTCCCCATACCATCCTGGCTTGTTGTGTCATTCAAATCTGGAAAACACGAACCATTGTGGTACCAAGATCAAACAGAGAGCTGCTTAGCAAGAGTGACTGCTGACACTCTCGTGAGAGAGCACCACTGCTGCTTTGCACAGCTGCCAGATGTGTCTCTGCTCTGGCCTCCTCCTATCCTAAAGGGCTCCAGCTGGGTGGTGCTGCAGAAAGGAGCAGAGGTGCTCAGCTGAGTCCCCTGCTGCTTCTCCACCTGTGTGCCCGAGAGAAGCCCCTCATGTGCATTAGCTCATGCAGCAAGAATCAGCTGGGCAGTGGTACCTGCCTGGGGGCAGCCAGTTCTCCTGCTAGCCCCATATTCTTGCTCCTGCTTGCAAGAGTGAGAAGGGGGCAAGTGCCGCCTCCCCCTTACTGCTCCCGCGTGCATGAAAGGTGCTTGGGTGCACATTCGCTTGCAGAGGCTTCTCTTCTGAGTGGGAATGAAAAAGGGGGCAAGTGGGAGAATAAGCTGAGCTGCACTGTGCCCAACTGAGCGTGGCCATGCAGCTGGTGCTCACCCCTCCTACTCCCATATGTGAGGAGCTTCCCAGTTCACATCCACCCCACCCTGCTTTGGCCTGAGCACGCCTCTCTCTCCTGGTCCAGCAGTCTCTTCCCAAGCAGGAGGAGAGGGTGCCTGATCGGCTCCCCCATCTTCTCCGTTGTGCTTCAGGGCATGAGTCCTGAATGGGCAACAAGGAAGGTTTGACAGGTGCGGCAAGACAAACCTGGCATGTGATTACAGCTGCCAAATTGAGGGGCTGTATTCCTGCCACATGGAGGACGTGAGAGAACAAGATGGTGGGGTAAAGGAAACTTACCACCATGAGCCCGGTTGTCAGACACATCAAGGTAAGAAACCACCAACCATGATCACCACACATTTTTTGTACCATATGAACCTTTCCCTTGTGAGTAAATTAAACATGTTTACACATCACTTGACTCATGCTTAGTTCCTGGGGTACCTTCAAGTATAAAAGAATCAACAGGTAGAGCTGTTCCTATGGATTGCAAAAGCTCTTCAGAGTGTGATCTGGATCTCCAGCTGCTGGTATCTGTATCTGACTCCAAAGATGACACGCATTTTCTAAGTGTAAAACAAAATCACACAGGTAAGTGACTCACTGAGAAAGGAACACGTTTGCTACAAGATATCAGAAAGCACCACCTACCTTTCAAAGCCAGTGCTTGGAACACTTTTGGATAAGGAGAGCGGTGGCTGCAACACATCTTTTTTCAAGGCGGATAATCCAATGGGTGTAGAAGGATGCGTTGTGGAGAACGTTGGCTGAGGAACGTCTCTGAATGATGGATCTGGAAGATCAGCATTTCAGACGCTGGACACTTCTAACAAAGTCCTTCATATCAATGTCTTTAGGTCAAGTGGTGATGGTGAAGCACCCCAACCATGGATGGAATTAGGATATTTATTTTTCGATTTATATCCTGCCTTTTTCCTACAAAGGGCTCAAGGCAGTTTACATCATTCTCCTCCTCCATCTTATCCCCACAACAACAACCCTGTGAGGTAGGTTGGGCTGAGAGTCTGTGACTGGCCAAAGTCACCCAGTTGGCTCCATGGCAGAGCGGGGACTCGAACCCAGATCGTCTGAGTCCCAGTCCCATGCTCTTAACCGCTACACCACACTGGCTCTCATATAACAATGTTGTTAAATCTATTCCATGTGTATTTCATAGATTGTTATGATGTTTCATTCTGGCATCTGTTCACTTAAGTAATATGATTTTTATACAAAAAAATTGTCCGTGTATGCAAATGCTGACCTGTGAGTTTGTGCATTAGTGCAAGTGAATGCTTGTGCAAATCTCCCCTGAGAAGTAAATGACCAATTCACAAGTCTGTGGAATCCACAGGTTAGTTTCACAGAAACCTGAACTTAGTTGAATTGGTTGCAGATTTTTCCAGCTTACCTAGCTGGAATGTCAAGAAATTGCTCATGCTCACCCAGTGCAAGTTACAACCTTGTTTCCCCCACAAGTCACCTCCCTCCCATGAAATACTGCAAATTCCTTTGGCAATCATACTCAGACTGCAATTCTCTATCCACCTACACGGGACTAAGCCCTGTTGAACTCAGCTGGACTGATTTCTGAGTAGACATGAATATTCAGTTTCAACAGTCTCTTGCTGTGTTACTGAGGGATGTGCTGCTCAAGAAAAAAAACCCAAAACGGCTCGGGCTGATCAAACTGGCTGGCCTTGGCCTATGCAATTAATTACTATATCAGTGCAAGCATTTTACAGGCTTAAATATTCCTTTGCAAAAATTGCTGTAGTATTTTACAGTGGATGAATGGTGCTAAACAGTGAAAAACAACTTCTAGCATCCGTGGCATTAATTAGACCTTGTTTTTAAACCCCATACATCCTACATAACATATATTTTATAGGTTAATACATCTTTTAGAATATACTTTCAAACTATTTGAATACACCTTGACTAATATTGTTATCAGTTGCAGCACAATTAAAACCTTAAAGGGTTTACACCATGGGTACTCCAACTATGGCCTGCCGGACAGATCTGGCCCGCCATGGCCATCCATCCGGCCCGCACCGCTGTTCGCTGCCCGTGCATGCGCTTGCTGTGCAGGTGGGGAGGCAGTGGCTTGCTCACTCAGAGAAGGTCTCCGAGCGAGCGAGCCGCCGCCGCCACCTGCCTCCCATACGCATGCGCTCGCTGCTGCCTCACAGGATGGGTGGGGAGGTGGTGGCTTGCTCACTTGGAGGTGGTTTTGGACTCGCTGGGAGATCTCTGAGCGAGTGAGCCATTGCTGCGCATGCCCAACTGCACCTCACCGGCCCACACCCCCCAGGCACCCCCACCTCACCAGCCTGCGACGGTCACCGCAGCCTTTCGACTGGCCCCTATTGAAAAAGTTTGAGGACCGCTGGTTTACACTTACATTAGTGCTTGCTTTAAAAGACCACATCCTCAGAAGTGCCTGCCTTCCTCATAGAGTGGCTTAATTCATGGTTTGCTCTTTATTTGTGGAAAAACCATGGTTTGATCAAACCAATAATTCATTAATGTAAATGTGCTGGGGAGATGCAGAAGGGAAGCAGGTGCATGCATAGGACCCAATCATATAAACCATGCTTTAGAGGCCTGTTTGAATGCAGCCTCTGAAAACTTAGCATGGTTCAAAGTTAAACACATATAAGGAAAATGATATAATGGTATAACCTCAGTTGTTCTAGTTCAATTTGTTATTGTCTTCAGTGACTTAAATCCAGAATAGCCACCTACAGATTTCCTCTGTTTAGGAAGGGGAGGAGTGATCTTCAACCATTTGTTCCTCCTTGCCTTCTACTGTGCCTCCCCAAAAGCTGCTCCAGAAGCTCAGGGGGCCTGGAAGAGCATAGCAGCTGGCAGTGAAGATGCAAGGGCCAGTCACTTTATCTCACCTCCCCCCCCCCACCTCCTCCAGTGGAAGCCTCTGCTGCACCTTGATCCATTCCATAAATGTAAGGAACCTAAAGTTCAAAGAACTGATGCTTGGGATCTAACATGGCAATTTTAGCTGACTTCAGTGCCCAAAACAAGAAAAAATATGGAGGTACACAGATAGTTCTACTACAATACTTACTCATCTGGACAGCTGGTGTCCTGTTCTTAATGTGACATCTCTCTTGGGATTTCTGGTAAAGAAGAAGGATTTTCTATGAACATGGACCTTTGGTTGCACAATAATCTAACACTATTTTATTTTTAAGATACCACACATCATCTGTATTTTGAGTTATATGTAACCAAAACTCTTCACACCCAGATGATCATATTCCACATAGTTATCTAAATCAAGAATGAAAGTTACTGCTGCACTGTCGATCCTCTACGCTAGCCTTCACCCTATTGGTGCCTTCCAGATGTTCTGAACTTCAGCTTGCATCAGCTGAAGCAATGCCTGCATAGTTATATATGAAACTAGCATGTTGGGTCACCTTTGCAAAGCTGGAAATGCATGGACCTGCAGCCGGATGGATAACCACAGATGGTGGGGGGGGGGAGCAGGAAATTTGGCCCAGTGACCTTACAGGTCCCTTCCAACTCTACTCCCATCCCATCCCCTTTCAGACAGCATAATTAATGACCAGGATTGCTGACCATAGAAGTCTAAAACATGTGGATGATACCAGGTTGCAAAAAAATGCTCTACAGACACACTTTCACACAGACACTTGTTAAAAGTTCAGAATGTGACTCTTAGGGGTCAGTTAGAAGTCTGTTAGACAGTCAGTGGAGTATATCACTTCGAAAGTTGGACTGGGACTCAGGAGATCCAGGCACTGGTCCTCACTCATGCAATCCCATGCACCTTCGTTCAGAAGCAGCTCCTCCAGTCAGGAAGTCAACAGGGTGCACTTCCCAGTCAGGAGTTTCGCTTCTTGGGTGATTTTGAGTGAGTGGCTGGCCCTCAGCCTAGCCTACTTCACAAGCCATTGTGAGGATGAAGTGAAGATGAGGAGGACCCATGTAAGCTGCCTTGGGCCCCATGCAACAGGGATAAAGGCAGGCTATATATGCAATAATAAATAGATCACAAATGAAATTAAAGTGAATGGACTGCCTCCCCATCAAATGCTACCACACCACAGCAGCCATTTAATGCTGATGCAGTAATTAAGGCCATTATAATATATCTATATCATTGACTTATTTCTGTTGTATCGTTATATTTCAATTTGCATTCAGAGATATTATGGAAACGGTAATATGCATACGACCCATGCATGGGTTGTGGCTGGGGAACTGAAAAACAATATGGAAAACTCTGTTGAGTGGAAGTCTTCCTTCAGTGTGTCCCTGGTGTACACAAGGGGGCGCTCTTTCCCAAGGTTTTTCTTCATAACCTTGGCTCAGCCACTGAATTTCGTAGAAGATGGGAACATCTTGGGCCTTTATTTTCCATTAACCGTTACTCTTTTTCTTGGTCACCACAGATGGAAAACACGTTGACTCAAGCCTCAGTTTCCAATCCAGCATGCTTCAGAAGCAACCACTTGGCTTCCATGTACAGTTTATGGTGACCAGAAAACTTACACCAAGGCCCACAGAAGGTTGTGTGAATAAGCCCCATCTCACCCTTGCTGAACTCACAATTTTCCCCAAGAAATAATGAGAAACATTTATCAAAGAAACTGCAAGTCAGTGTAAAAAAATGCAAGTCAGGCATGATGCCCGTGCAGAACCACTAATGAAAATACGTGACCTTCAGGGCTGAAGAAAACCAACTGAATCCTGTCAAACAGGTGTAAGCAGAAGAGGACTTAGAAAACTGATACATTTTGTTTCCCATACAATAGCTACTTTAATAATCTTGCATCACCAAAAGCAATGCCTCTGTCTTTCTACCAACGAACAGTGCCTACTCACTTGAATTGCACTTTCAGTCATCATTACCCTAACATGATGCACCCTATGAAACACAGTTGTTTAGAGACGATTCAGGTCATGCTGCCTGGAGCTTGCTGGAATCTGTAGGCCTTTTCTGCTGTTCAAACTGTAGAGGATTGCACCCTTAACTGTCCAAACCCTCTCACACCATGGGTGACATAAAACAAGGTGACAGCAAGGAGGATACCAACATAAAGCAATGTAAGAATGAGCAATAATATCTCTAGGACATTTTAAAGCTTACCTTTGTGCATGCAGGAGCACAGTCCTTACAACTTTTATGCAAAATTGCATTGCAATCTGCAAGAAAAAGGGAAAAAAGAAACCTCACTTAACAAATGTAAGATATTTATTTTAAGATAAATCTAATGACTGCTTTAAACTCTTCTCCAGCTGTGATTATGGATAACTTCCTCTAAAAGGGGCAAGCAAAATTCACCTGAACAGGCAAAAAGTACAGATTGTATATTCCACTCAACACTGAAAGAATTAATTAGGAACTCTATGTCCAGTACTATACATTAGGAAAAGCAGGTGGCTGCCACCAAGTATAACAGCCCCTTGTCTCCTCCTCACCCCTCCCAGTAATATTCAGTTCAAGTCGACACATGTCTGTCCCCCGACATGGAGTTTCCCTGCTCCATACCAGCAGCAGCCAAGGAAGTGGAATGGGACAGGGAAAGCCCCAAGTGCAACGAGGTCAAGCCACACGTCTTCTTTAGCTGAATGTTACCAGGGAGATAAGGGGAGTGGCAGCACCTCCTGGTACAAGGTAACTGGGTTCCAGCTCCTTCCTGGTAAGACCTTCTAGTGGTGGCCAAGATAGGATAGGAGCAAATTTGTTTCCTTAAATTCATATGCTCCCCTCTCGGGTAGAAAGCAGATGAGCTGAATGACCTGAGGATTCCAAGTAAAGCGGGTGAGGTTGATGAGAGGTGATAACCCCTGTCCCCAACCAACAGGTTCACCTCCCTCAATTCTGCCTTCCCAAGACACTTTCTCTCAATCCATGCTCACTTCTGGTATTGGTACCAAGCTGGGAATAAAGGGAGCACAGGCTACGGAGATGAAAGTTATGGGCATGTGTGGTGGTCATGGTGGGAATTTCTAGAACTTCTCACCCATGTTCCCTCTTAAAAAGGTATATCCCCATTTGGTGACCTGCCACTGCTGTGTCAAGTTTAGTTCTATTTAGGTTTATACAAATTAAGTTGCTGTGAGAAAAAAACAGCTTCTATGAAGTTTACAATTGTTCTAGACACTTGAAAAATTAGAACATGTTTGATGTATAATTTTATGTATATGCATCACAGGAAGGCTAATAAAATTTATATGGATGCCATTGTGAAGTAAAATATTTCACTTCAAGATAAAATATCGGAATAGAAATTAAAAAGATTCAGACTTGCTCATGTTTAGAGTAGCCCTACTGAAATCAAAGCAACTTCAGTCAATTATATCTTAAATCCCACTTATCCTAATGGTTATGTTAAGCCTGAATAAGTCTGGCTTCAACTCATAGAATACATGCAACTTTCTGTAAGAGATCTGTGGATGTCAAACATCTAGACAACAAAATATAGCTACTTACAAGAACATTGCAATGACTCTTTCCCTAGAAGTGGTTTCTCACAGGAGAAACATGGCATTACCCCTGTGAAAGTCCCATTAACAAATTGGTGTTTGTTGAGTTTCTCCTTCTCTTTGGCATCTTTATTTTTTGCCTTGATAGTCAGAATGAAAAAAAATAGTAATAATAATAACCAGGTTATTTAGCTGTCAGAAAATATTGCAATATTCCTATATAAATATTCACAGTTGCATTCTCCCTAGTCATCCACTGCCTGTTTCACAAGAAACAGGAAAGTTACTCCGATCTTATGAAATCATTCCACTGTCCTGTCCACATTGCAGATCAATGTCCCATAGACAAGCCCCCATTATAATTTTATAGCTGTGTCTTCAGTTCTACCCAGGTATATGGTGACTTTCTCAGATCCCACTTCTTCCACAAAATCTTGTTTGGGAAACCCTCACTTCACACATTCCATATTACATTAACGATGCCACAAGAAAGAGGTGTGTGTGTGTGTATAAACAACTTTAGCCTGATAAAATAGCCACCTCTATGTTAGAGACTAGAGAGCACTGTAATAAAGGCAGCAAGTGTGTTTACTGAGTGAGTGTGGGGAATGCTTCCTGGAGGCTGCCTCATTTGCCTTCAGAGATGTCAGCCATTCGATAACTCTGACCGGCTACATATCATCATGACGACACCCTAAGAGATCCCTGATGGGAGAGGATTACTCATGCAATGATCCCCAGGAGGAAGCAGCTTGGAGAGAGCTAGCAATTATTAAGGGAACAGTGGCACGAAAGCAGCAGTGCAGGAGGAAACAATTTTATGTCTCAAGGGAACAGCTCCATGAACTGGCACAAAGAATGATCATCTTCATGGAGGGTGTTAGTGTGAGGAAATACTCCTTCGAGAAGTGCTTGTTTCACATTAGCTTCAATTTCATTCCCCTTCTTCATTACTGTTCTTCCTTATATCAAATCCTGTTCTTTTTGCTTTTCATCTTTGCAGTTTGATACCTAAGAAGGGATGAGCAGGAGATAGCAGAGTTTTGGGATGGCGCAGGTGAATGCAGGATCTCAGACTGCAAGCGAGGAACTGCATTTTAATGTTCCTCACATAATAAACACTCTCTGAAACTACAGTTTCTACTTGGTAAGGGAGCCCAGGACATTCAAAACAGAGAATTCTTTTTTACCTGGTTATAAACAGGGAAAAGCTCTGCAACTTGCAGTCCTACCTGCCAGTTTTTCCTTTTGCATTTAGAAACCTATGCAACACTCACAGGACTGTTACTAGACATTATGTAATGTAGCGAAAATTGCCCCCAATTACCTTGGATTTGTTCCGCGTACTGGCCATTCTACTCATCAGAAAGCTGAAAGTACGGCTCACTTTATATTTTTCAGATTCTGATTTTGTAGGTATGATGTATTTATCCCAGTCTTCTTCCTGAATCCTAGAAATGTACCAGTAAATTGTTCATACAAGCATACTCTTAAAATTAGAGACATTTAATTAATAAGATATTTGTGACTGTGTTACTGGAGTTGAAATAGAAAGAGGAGATGAAATAATTGAAATTCATATTTCCTGATTTGAATATTGAACCTTAACTTACTGAAATAACAGGTAATTGTGTGTTCACATGTTCGGGGTCTACGGATGCATGTGAGGGGATGCACGCATTGATCCTGCAACCAATATTCTCAGCCCTGCTCTACTTGAGCCCACCTTGCCAGATTGGACAAGCAAGATCTGAAGGAGGCTTCTGCTCATGTTCAGGTGAAGAAGCTCATGCTCAATATGGAAAGTGCTGACCAAGAGGGTGGGCTCAGGTAAAGATCTCACCTAAAGATCCCCATACCTCTTTCATGCATTTATAAACCCCAAGCAGGTCAGAGGTGTGGTAGTTCACCCAGCTCTCGTAGCCTACGTGGCATCAGATAAGTGCTGGGGTAATTTTAACATGTTACAATTACCTTGACATTTATTGCCATGTGTATAAACTGTACCTTTGCTCTCCTGAATGTTGAGGCAACCTGAATGCATGTTGCTCTGCAAAATAATAAGAAATTTGAAGCAATTATAATCAGTGTCTTTAAGCACAAGATTTCCATCCTATTATTTGTTCAGTAGTTGTATGCTAACATTCCTGAAAGGCACGGCATGGCACGGCATGCCTAGTCTAACCAAACCAAATGCAAATCTTCTGGCTGCCTGTCCCTCACACTAGCTCTATCAGAATATCAATACTTTACAACCAGATTTTGGCTACACAAATGCAGGGTGCACACTGTATAAAGGAAGTCTATACACATATAGTTGGCACTTGGCTTTGTGCAGAGAAGCCAATCAGTACATGGACATCTGGGACAGGAGCAGCGCAGAGTGTATGATCCTGCCCTTTCCCGCACCCCACCCTGATTATTTATAGCAACTTTCCTCAACCTGGTGCCTTCCAGTTGTGCTGGATTACAAGTCTACAATCTTCCAGCCATCATAACAGGAGAAGTTGTAGTCTAACGTGTCTGGAGGGCATCAGGTTGGGCAGGGCTGGCTGACAGATACAGGTCATGCACAGAAGGTCCTTGGTTTCAGCATTCCATCCTTTCATATAGAGCCTTCTTCAAGATTTGAAAAATGATAACACTGCTGTGCCAAGAATTCAGATATTCCTGCACAGGAGAGGAAGCTTTCCTTCTATGTAAGTGGCACACTGAAGCAGGTCTACCAGGAGGTTAGTCTCAGGCTGAACAAAGGGTATTGAATACCGAGTAATGAAAATAGAAATTTGCTCACCATCATTTGAATCACATATTGTGAAGTCCCGTGCACAGTGCGGTTTCCCTAAGGCAACTTTGGGAGCAGTATAAGAATATGAGCGAGACCGAACTCCAGACAGTAATGATTCCTACAACACATCCAAAATTTTAGAGAAGTGAAGATCAACAGCAGCAATGCAATTCCAGATTTCCCATCTTTTTTTCTTTCAGGATTTAAACATTGAAACAAAATTAACTTTGTGTAAAACCAGAAGGATACATAAGTCATTGTCTCACTTGTAGCTACTGAATTCATGGATGTCATGCTTAGGGAAATATTATGTTTGGATAAGATCTCACATCCATTAAATAATCTCAGTTATTATTGATTTTGTAGGTAATCAGCAACAATAATAATTAATACCTTTGCCTGGGGATTGCTGGATAAAGGAAAGGATTCGGCTCTGCTCATGTTGAAATCCAGTTCAGCTGCTGTCTCTGAAGAATTTAACCCATCCCTAATGCCAGCCAAGGTCACAGAAGAGTTGAAAGACATTGAAGGGTAGCATTTATGCGACAGATTAGAAATTCTTCCATCCCCATTGTCTACATCCAAGTCATCAAGACTGGAACTAAGAACACATGAATGATAAATTACAAGTGTAACTTTCTCATAATCATTTTGCCGTTTTGGCAGAAAGATGGGCACAAATAGAATGAATAAAATAGTAGTAGTAGTACTTCTATGTTGTCTTTCTACCAAAACAGGCACTCAAGGTGGATTACAGAATCAATTAACAATGATACAAACAATGAATTAAAATACAATAAAAACATAACAATTACAGAAAAAACATATAATTAAAAATGGTACCCAGTGTAACAGTCCCACATACAGTTCAATGACCTTCCCAAATAAAGCTCTCTTTCCCTGCTGGTAGAAAGACTAAAGAGAAGGCACAAACCTTTTGGGAGATAGTTCTACAACCTGGGAGGGGACACAAGAAAAGCTTTCGAGTCGCTGCTAAGGTAGCAGTCTCTGAAGGCAGCAATCAGGAAAGAAAGTCCTCTCCAGAAGCTAGTCATTCATCATTAAACACCGGGCACAGCCCTACAGATACACTTTATTGATCAGCATCTTCCCTTCACCCCAAAGACTTTTATGTAGCCCTCAGATCTAGGCAATTGGACCCAAGTTTTACACCAGCATTGCAGAATTATTTTCAGAAACGCTTTCATTTTGGAGAAGCTTTTGGGATCTGCATTCCAGTGGTGTGCATGGTTGAAGGCAAAAGGGGGTGAGAGGAAAAGGCAAAAAGGGTGGGGCCAAAATACTGAAAATACCAGTTTATTTTAGCTTAAAATCCTTATTTTCAGTAACTGAGCCCTGGGAGAAGCATTAGAACTTTTAGAATGGGCGGTGGGTGGGGCTGCACAAAAAGCAGGGAAATAACAAACGATGGATAGCTAGGGAGAAAGAGCAGGGGGCATGGGAAGGGGGCATGACCCAAGAGTGCCAGATTAAGACCCCAAGCTTGACGTTTTGCAGCCCCCCTTCATGCAGCGGTTAAATACTTGCTTGGATATTCCCTGTTATCTGTTTGGTCAATTGTTTGGTTAAAGTGTACACTGCCTCAGCAAACACATGTTCTCAAATTCAATACACATGAATGCATGAGTGGGGAACATCAGTGATGGGAGGTATTTAATTATTTCCTCTGAAACTGCACCACTTTCTGTGCTGGAATCTGTTTTTTGTCCATTTCAGTTTCATTTTACTATCACAGAACAGATGAAGAAAAACTGCCTAAAACGCTTTTGCAGTGGGATTTTGCAAGGAAGAATGAGTGAGGAAGGGCAGTTTTCAGCACGCCTTCCTGTGCACTGTTTCTCCCCTGCACATGTCTTCTTCCACATTAGCTTTGCTGGGCAAGTAGACACAGGATTGGAAACCGTCATAATTTCCTTGTAACACACAGTTCTGCTTTTCTGCCATCCTACTAATATAGGCAAGCATGGTCCAGAATAAACAAGACTCATGGGATGCACTTCAGAATACCAACTCCCTTCTTTAATGGCATATGAATTGTGAAAGGAGTGGTTTACTTCTTCTAAGAAATTTCAATTCATTCATTTTTCCTCTTATTTTGGATCAGGCATGAAAATGATAGTTTTGATACTAATAATGAGAAAATCCCTTCCATACCTTCTTTTTTTCATGATGGAATAACGTTGGTTTTGTTGATTGCTAAATGCATGCACCTTTTGGAGTGGCACATAAGAACTTGAGCTATCCAAATCAGATGGCATATCCGTGTTATTTCCAGATGCTTCCAGATCTTCATGTGAGCCAGTCTGATCTGTGTATGTTTCAGAAGCAGACTGGCCAGCGGTAATGTGCTTGGCTCCAGCGTCTTCCATCTAAAGCATAAAATTAAAACTATTTGGTGTTCTTTGCAAAAGCAATAAAGCAAAGCTGAATGCACTTCCTAGAAGTATCATGAATGAACAGTGGCTTATATCCAGCATTGTAAAAATACACTTTGTTCATGGGATGTTACTTCCCCTTGCTCTCCTCCCCAGTTCGGTTCTCAGTGCACACGTCCCCTCAAATCTGCTCTGGCAGACCCCTAAAACACCTGAGCAGGTTTGGGTGGTATTCAGAGGGAGAGCGAGCAGGAGGAAACAGCCCTGCCTATAGTTTCCATTTGGCTGGTAGATAGCCAGAACGGCATATGACCCAAAATTCTCAAGAGAAAGTTGCCCAGAGAACCTAACCAGAAATCCAGGATACAACCTGTGCTCCTAGGGGTGCTAAAACCAGCACCTGGCAGAGCCTAATTTGAGAGACACAAAATTCTGAAAGTAAAATGAAGACAGAAGAGGAAGATAACTTGGAAGAGGAACTTAAAGTTGAAGTGCAGGCTTGCCTGTGTGTGCGTGCCCTTGCGTGAGTGTGCGTGTGCATGCGCATGGTGAAAAGAGCGAGAGAGAATATATGAATCCCACAAACAAAAGCTAGCAGAGGGGCACCAGCTGAAGAACAAAGCAATAGGAAAGAGCAAACAGCTTTGCCTGCTCGTGCGGGGAGGGACTTCTCATGGGGAACTTCCTGGTGAATCGTTCTGTTTGACTGTACAGTCACCTACACACCTACAAAGAGGCTGACTCCCAGATGAGGGGCTACAGAACTGTAGCCAGCCAAAGGCTGGAGGAACCGGAACACCCAAGGCTCTTGGATGCCCCTTTGTAGTGATTTTCTTGCACCAAATAAACCTGATTATTCTTCAGTCATGCCCTCTTTTCAAAGGAGACTTGCCTCAAATATGAGGTTTCCCAGTTAACTGCCATGCAGGTTAGCAGACTGAGGACAGATACACTGTACAATAACTTATTTGCTGCCATCTGCTGGAATGGCAACTACCTCAGATGACTTTAAAGAGGAACTAAACAATATCAGGGATAAGTGAGATTTAGGAGCTATTAGCCATGATAAATAAACAAGAGCATCTGTATTCAGAGGCAGTGTGTCCAAATCCCAGAAACTGAGGGCTAAATGGCAGGAATATACTACTGTGGGAAAAAAGAGGCGAAATTAAATGGACTCTTTGTTATGATCTAGCAGGGAAATGTGTAGGTATCCTTAAGATGTCCCTTCCTTTGCAAGCTTCAGGCAGTTCTTAGAAGCTGAGGAGCTGAGCTGCACTTATAACTCAAGCTGTAATAGGGAAGAGGCTGCTTCATGTGCAGAGCACTGACCCTGCAGCAACACTTTTCAGGAAAGTACCTTCAGGTAAAAAAACACCTGTGCTGCCTAAGGCTTAACCGAGCAGTGGGCAGAAGCGGGCTGACACTTGGTGCTCTGGCTCATGCAGCAAAATTTGTCTTGAGTAAGCTCTGTTTAATCTGTCTGTCCCCTAAATTAGGGTATATTGCTAAGAAAGGTTTTAAAAAATAAAACACCAGGATTAGCTTGAAAAAACAGGCTACAAATCACGGCACATTTAGTGTGTTTTCAGAGTGCGGCACAGCTTAGCAGTGGATTATGGCCAAGGTATTTTCATTAATATGGATGTGTCAACATGCACAGATTGTGAGCCACAGAAGAAGGCATAACTTTGCTGAGGTTTATTTTTAAAAAATCAGTTGAATAAAATACGTAAATATCATCTGCTTCAGGATCTTTGTATATTCTAACAGGAAGTCCATGATGATTAATCTAAGCCTTATGACTGTCACTCCTACCTGGTCCACTACCATGCGATTGGCATACACTTCATCGCTTCCATTCAGCATAGCAGGAAGTCTTCCCACTGCAAAGGAAGTGGAGGGAGTCGAGGTTTTCTTGTAAGTCTCAAACAGGAAATGTCGTTGAACTGGAATGAAATGTATTATAGAAAAACAGGTTATTTTCTTCATGGCCATACAAAACAGAGATGCCAGTTTTATTTTGAGATGGAATTAAAGAAAAAAAGATCCTATTTCCACGTGATCTGTGCTTAAAGGAGCAGTGAACCACACTTCTTAACCCCTGTCCCCAAATTCCCACGGCTGCTACTTCCCCAGTGGGTTTTTGTTGTTGTTGTTTTTGTTAAAAGCAAAAGTTTAATTAAAATGTAAAAACACAGCTACTAAAACACAAGTAAAAACAAGAATGAAATAAATGGACAGCCACTGGCCGATTAAAAACCCCTCCAGCAACAGAGCTGACATGCCCATGGCCTGCCTGAACATCTCGGCCTGCTAAGGATGGACAACAGAGAGGGAGCCAAGCTGGCCTTATTTGCAATGGAGCTCAAGAGCCTGCAAGGACCCATCCAGAAAGTGCTTTCTCTCATCCCCACTAAACTTATCTCCGATGGTGTCGGCACTGAAAAGGGCCTCCTCCAATGATCTTAAACCCTTGCCAGGCTCTTATGGGAGGAGGACCACTTTCAGGCAGCATGGTCTCAACTCATGGGGGGGCTTTCTAGCCACAAGCAGCTCTTCAAATTGAGACCAGAAACAGAAGGGAAACTGTTCTAACAAGGGAGTTACACACTCCTTATAAGTGGACCTGGTCTAGCCATGGCATTCAATTGGATGAGATCAAAAACAGAGAGGTCTGAGTAATTTTTCCAAGAGTTTCTTCCAAACAAAGTATCTTCCAGGAAAGACACAGGTCCAAATTGGGATTGGCCAGGTCTAGCATAGATTTCTGGCTTCCTGCTCTTCTTCATCCATGCAAGAGACAAGTTGGAGTAAGATTGCTTCTGCTTTGACATTTGGCTAAAGTTTTGTGATTCATTGATCTTGGTTGTTCCAGGGATTTTTGTATTCACAGTGATGTGATGACAAAAGGATCTGATCATGCAGCCACTGTCTTAGCAGCTCATTTTGGCTGAAAGATACTTACTGATAGAGTTTGAGGTAAATGGGATTCAAATCATTTTAAAGATTATAAAAAGAAGCAAAATGTGTAGCAGCCAGTACTGGTACTCCTGTTTGTTCTCCGCAGACTACCAGACACATTATCTCATGGTTCATTCACTCCTAACTTAGTGTACTCAAACAAGGAGTGAGCAGCCTTAATTTGGTTCAGTAACCAAAGCAAGTTTTTTCCCCTCAGAGTAGAAATGTACATCTTTACCAACTGGTCCATAGAATCATAAGATTAAAAGGAAATGCAAAACTAGGGAGGAAATGCTGCAGGCTGGCCAACCTTCCAGAGCAGATTCAAAAGATTGGACTACAGTGGGCAAGAAAATAAGCAGAAACCCATTTGTACAACACTGGATTCAACCTGACACTACAGCTAATATCTGTAGAGCTTGCATTGGGAAACTTTAAGGAAGAGTCCATCTAAATTCCAAGAGTCAGATCATGAGTATTTCAATCCTCCCTTATTTTTTTTCTATGCAAAACATTTTAAAAGCAAGGGGGGGAAATCTCCTTTGATTTTTTTATGGGCCATCTAAGTGCTTTAAACAAAAATACAAACTGATACATTAACATTAAAAATAATATCACAAGAACCACAAGAACTGTTATTTTAAAAATATTAACTTGTTAGTCTTTTAAAATGGATTAAATCCCCCCTGCAAAGAACTACCCAGAAGACAGAGGCAACAACATCAACCTTTCTTTCTGAGTAACCATAATGTGGTTAATAAGTGATCATGTACTAGGTATTGTAATAAATTAAGATTTCAGCTAACAGTGAGGTGCTGGGAATAAAGGCTGTGCATAGTTTCCCTTCTGGAACTAAGTTCATGTGTAATTATTAATTCAAAAAAACTATTAAAATGCCAGAGCCACAGACCAAAACTGTAGTTGCCACATACACATTTGAATAGGCTGGAAAATAAATTCAAATGGTGTCAACACAGGCGGCTTGTCTATGTCTGGCACTTCATGCCAGATAATGACATCATAAGCAAGTCCACAGGCTGTGTTTCATGTGGGCATTGCTCACAGGATCACTCAAGCAGGATGGGTGCAAGACCTCTGCCTGCCCAAGCTCCTCAGCAACTGCTGCATGCAGGCATGGCACCTCTGGTAAAGGAGGTAAGCCCATAGCCAACAAGGCTGGTAGCCACTGGTAGCCTCCTCCCTCATGAACCTGTCCAATCCCCCTTTAAAGCTACCAGATTGGCAACCATCAGCCCTTCCCATGGCAGCAAATTCCATAGTTCAGCTATACGTTGTCTGAGGCAGTTAGTTCTCCTTCTCTGTCCTACACCTCCCACCAATCAGCTTCATGGGATGATCCCAGGTTTCAGTGCTATGGGAAAGGGAGAAACATGTTTCCCCTCTATTCCATGCATTATTTGAAACATCTGTCTCTGCTTACTTGCCCTTTTTCTAAGCTGAACAGTCCCAGTTGCTCTAGCGGCTCCTTGTAGGGGAATTGCTCCAGCCCCCCGATCTTTCTTATTGCCCTTCTCTGTACTTTTTCCAACTCAATAATTTCATTTTTCAAGGCAACTGGGCCAACAATTTCATCGAGTTGTCCACTACCGCCCCAAGATCCCTTCCTTGCTCAGTCACTGCTAGTTCAGATACCATCACTTGTATATCTGAAATTGGGGTTGTTTTTGCCCCAACATGCATTACTTTGCACTTTATATGGAACTATATTTGCCATTTTGATGCCCATTGTCCCAGCTTGAAGAGATCTCTTTTGAACCCCTCAAAATCCCTACTCTTCTACTTCCCTGGATTTCAGGTCAAATCCTTTAGTATGGTAAAATTATCCTTGCCACATAAGAGAGTAATACAGGCCACTGTCTTTCTGTATTAGCACATGTTTGGGCAGAGGAATAGTCTGGCTGTCCTCTAGTGGATCACTTACAGCCCTGCAATTGTGGAATGGAAGGTTAGGGTTTTGTTGGCAGTACGTTGCAGAATCAGCAGGATTGCTGGAGAGTATCTTGATGAATCTGGCAAGTACTCAAGTAGGGGTTTTTGCTATAAAATACATCTCAAGACAATTTTTGCAGGACGTTTTTTTGGCAAGGCTGGCCCTATCATGAGGCATAATAAGGTAGGTTCTGCGGGCAGTTGATGCTGGGACATAACAGCAAGTGTTGGAGAAAAAGGCTGAGTGCCGTGCACCCTTCCGTGTGCTCTAAGTTAACCTCCTGACTTGGAGGTTATACCACTGCCAGTGTTAAAAAAAGATTCAACTGCAGTCCACTTAGCTCTTGTGATTGGAATGGGAAGGTGCTACCTTGTTTTTACATCAGATAGCAAAATATCTGGGCTGGCTTTGTTGGGTGCTGATACTATGAATCTACATACATGCTTATCCTGATTGTGTTTGTAAACTAACTGTATATCAGAAACTATATAAATCAGAAAATGCAAAACCCTGTAGGAACCTCATTCAAAGAAAAGTGAAACCTCTTGCTAATGCTTGTATCCCTGGAGTTTGTGCCACAACAGTGCATGAACAAGATAGAATGCTTATTATAGTCCGTTATCATTTGGTATTTAATAATCGCCTGTTGTCCATTCTGTTCTTGACCAGAGAATGGGAGACTACTACTGACTATCTAGAAAAGTTTGGAAAGCCAGTTAACTTACAGGGCTGATCCCAAACAGAAATCTTGCGTGTCATATGCTATCACACACTCCTCTTAAGTTAGTTCTTACATAACATATATGTTTTTAAATTAAAATTGGTATGAACAGTGAAACAAATTTCAAGAGTATCAGTGGACAGACACCTTCATTAGATCCAATTAAAAATTCACAAATTGAGCAAATTTTTGATTTCCCCAAAATCTTTTCTTCCAAGCTAGTTGTTAAGCAAAACAAAGAGCTGAGGCAGGCAGGAAAGAGGAAAGGTTGGACATCTTGGAAAGTTTGTCTACCTGTAACAGCCTTAAGATAGAATACAGGAAGTGCTATTCTTAGGTAAAACTTACCAAAAAAAAAAAAAAAAACCCACTCCTGCCAAAGGTATTATACTACTATCATTATCTGTTGGATTTCCCCCACTGGATCAACAGAGCTACAGGCTACAGAACATCTGTATGTTCTGAGGAATAATACATTTAGCCGACATGCAGAGCAAGCATAGTGAGACTCCTACCATCCCAGAGTAGAGCCGCCTAGCTTGCTCCCCAGTCCTTGCCCCTTCTTCAAGCCCCGCCCCTACTCCCTTGGTAAACATTTTCAGAAGGAAAGTTTCTGCTGATAAGCCCTCCTCCCAGCACAGAGCCAAGAGAGCCCCCTTTTCTGAGGTCTGGGCAGATGTTGGCTTGGGAATGGGAACAGGAAAGGTGTGCATGCATTTGTGTACAAACGTATGTATGCATGCATGCAAGAAGGGAAGAATGAATGGCCAGTGTGCATGTGAGCGTGTGTGTGCAATGGTTTGTACATGTCTGCGTGAATGAGCTATGCCATCCACTTTGGGTTCTGGCCGTACCCACTGCCGGCATGTAGTTTCCAGGAGCATTTTTCTGTTGGGCATCTGGCCCTTGGGCTGAAAAGGTTTCCCACCTTGGATGCAGAGGAATGGATCTGAAGGAAAATGCTCTTCTCCAATCTAAAGGTGGTGCTTGGGTTTCTGTACTTTACACACCCTTCAACAAGGTAATGCTATTCTTTCTACATATGTTCACTCATTATCTATTAACTACATTACTTGAACATAAGCTCTACCTTGGCTCATATAAGGACTGATCTCCACATTAAAAAGAACACCACAGAGTGTTCCATTTAGCATCCATATAACAGCCAGAATTCCTGTTTTCAAATGGAGAGCAGCTCTGATGCTTCTTTAACCCAAGAGTGCTTGGCACCCTTTGAAGCCTTTTTTGCAAGGCTTTGCAAAACTGTGTGTTCCTGAAATGATTTACTTAAAAAATATTGCATTCTTTTTACC